CTATTCATCATGAAATGTTGGTACAAGTAAAGGGTAACTGGAAGTTTCAAATCACACAAAAAACGTAAAATGACCAAAGTGGAAAAAATAATGGTTTGTTTGGACAGTAATGATATGTAAATGAATTGTTTTTGTGAGATATTATATGAACTAGGGAGGGAACTGAGTGTTTTTGAAATGTTTATTCATGCTACATGTTTATATGCTACATTAGGGATGCAGTCCCACTTCCTTGTCTAAAATGCAAGGGAAATGGCTAAAATAAGGCTCTTCCTATGGACTAAAATTGTGTTTCGGTAATGACATGAAAACATGGGATAGCATTTTTTGAAAAACTTTTTTTTATTTAAGAATTAAACTCATGATAAATCTAAACTTCAGTTTAAAAGCAATCAAAAAGATCTTTTGGAAAAAAAGGAGGAAATCTAAGGGTTAGGGTTTGGGACAGTCACCTCCCAGTGGAAAGTACCCTATATATAATGATTTTGTGCATATTTAGCTTATTACTATCTTGAGTTTACCTTGAGTTTAAATAGATCATAACACATTTCTTGTAGCAGTCTAAGTTTTGAATATTTACTTGTTCTTTTCTTTTATTTTCTTTTATTTTATTTTTTTACTGTTGTACCTGTTTTTACTGTGTTATTGTACAGTTTGAACTAGAATGGTCCATACAGCCACATAGCATAACCACAGCCAAATTAGTGAGCTAATCTTGTATGATGCATGCAACAATGCGAGTCAAGTGAGCCAGTAGCCTAGCGGACCAGCAACTGGAAAGCCCCAGGTGATTGGTTTGATTCCCTTGACTAAGTATTCCTGGTTCTGCTCTTGGACAGACCACTGAACTCCTTGCCCCTACCGCACTGGCAGCACCATGCTGCTACTAGATTGAGGATAGAAAGGCAGCAAAATGACCAATTTCTTTTTTAGGCAGATCAATAATGTATAACTTGTTAATCATTACTTTAAGGTCAAAATGTAAAGGTAAATATATTTTAGTAATTTATTATTATATTTAGTAATTTGATCCTGGAGGGTCATTGTCCAGCATAGTTTGATGATTTTCCTGCTCAAATATGCTAGTAAACCTAGTATTAATTATTGAGTTAAATCAGATGTGCTTAAGCACAAAAACCACTTGTGCTGAATACTAGCCCACCAAGCCGGGAGTTCGACCTCTGTTTTAAATTGTGATGAGTGAGCAAATGTTAATTTTACCTACATTTCCTGAGATGAACAGCTTGATTGGATTCTTAATTTGATTTTGGTTGCTTTAGATTATACAGATGAGTCAAGCCTAGTCAGCTGTTTACTGCCTTTATCGTTAAAACACAGAAATTGATGATCTTGAGAGGTAGCGTTTATTTTACTGCATATAATGTCTTTTCAGCACACATGACACATCTACATGCTTAATTGGAGATTTTTTGGGGTATTTTTCGACCATGCTAACTTACATTACATCCATGGGCTAATGACAGGCCTGGCCATCAGACAACATTGATGAGCACACCATCTCTACTTTGAGCTCTGCCTTCACAAGGTATTGGATTGGTTTAGAAATGTCATAGTCAATTTGTTCCCTCCCTAATAAGTCTTTATTCCCACCCACATTTAGCCGAGAATTTCTCATGGTTGTTCCCAGACGTTGTGGTTCTGAGATCACATCTGGGCCCACGACACTACCATGAACACACTGTCATTGGACAGCCCAATACGCTTTCAGGAGAATGTTAGTGATGGGGAATCCATGCCAAAAGAATAATTTCTTTCAGAGTCGAAATCAACTCTTGGCCAGTGACTCTGAGAGTCGAAATTAACTGAGCTATTACTATGAATTTGCAGTTTCTGCTGGATGCTTTGTTAACTTCCATGGATGGAAGGCAGCCTTAATTCAGTCAATACTTCCAAAAACTGGACCCACAGCCTCTGAAGCCCAGAAAGCAAGAGAAGATTGAGGTGGTCCAGCTCTGCAGGGGAACAGCAAATATTGTGACTGTCACAGGGTCTGTGTGTGACATGTAAAGGTGTGGAGTGGGCCGCAGAGCTTTAGGGGGCTCAGTGTGTGATGGCTCCACCGCTGCGCTAATGAGCTGGCAGCGTTCAGCTCACACTTAATCCAGACATCAGAGGGCCGGGGCTGCTCACTGGATTACACACGCAGATTCACTCACACGCGAGTGCACACACAATGTTGGTGTGCTGTGTAATAAGCATTAAGACACAGCTGAATAAACTAATGAGTGAAATCGAAACAACAAATCACCTATTAGCACAGCTTTACCAAATGAGACAAAAACGCTTGGATGTTGAGCGCTACAGCAGGGCCTGAGCCGCAGAGAAGAAAGCCCATCTGTTGCTGCTCTTTCAGACCACGGCAGGCACTTACAGTTTCAATTAATCTGGCCAGCCCACAGCCTGATTGAGTTAAATCCCATAGGTTCCAGTACAGTTCTTCCTGCACTGCCTGTGCTTGCAGTCTATTTAAGGAAGCAGACCTCCTGAAATAATGAAGGATTAACGCACAACAGCACTCATTAGGCTGCCACTGATACCACACATTTGTTATTTGCTATAGTGCAGACTTCAGTGCTGTAACTTGCTCTCATGAAACTTTGGCAGGAATTACAATGAGCAAGCTGTGAAATGAGCAAACTTGAGCTCACATTTCACTGGTATTCGGCTTCAGGCTAAAGCAAAAAACAAAACCCCAAGCTAAAAAATAGCTTCATTTTTGAGAATGGTGCATTTGCCAATAACATGGCAATAATAAGCAAATTTTACCTAAGCATCCAACAACTGCCTGCTAGCAGTAAGTAGTTGCAGCTACTTGTAGGCTGTTACACTGGATTTCATAAGAAACATAAGAAAAGATTCAACCTATTTAACCCATTCATTAGTCTGAATCATAACCATCACTATTCAGTTACTTTTAGGTGCTTTGATCATTTCTAAGAACAGAAGTCAGCCATTAGGGCTTCAACTTGCATTTTCCAGTGAATTTTGGCAACAAATATTACATTCATTTTTGTGGAACATACCATGCTGAGCAATTTCATGTCCCAAATTTCTGGAGCAAATAAATTTTGTGTATGAAATTGTATTAAATGTAATACTTTGGTGAACTCTGATAGGCAAATTCATGTCTTCAACCAGAAGCAGTATTATTATCTTTACTTCTGTAGGTTTACTGTTTGTTTTAGATGACTTAGCCAGCTTGCTAACTACAGCGTTAGCTAGTGGGCTAATCATACCTGTGCACCCCACTGCCACCAACAAGTCAGTTGTCTACACTTTTTTTTGCTACAGATCAGTGTGCAACATCATAATCTCATGAGTATAATTTTGCCCAGTTTTGTGTTGGTACTATTTATGGAAAACATCTTTTGTCATCAAACTTTTTCGTCCAGCCTTAAGTCCATTTCAAAAGGAGACGCAAACTGAAAATATCTAGTATGGCTGCATCTTTACTCAATCAGTATTACTATCTATGATGTGGTTGAATATCATTGGATCCTCTGAATTATGCGGTTGTTAAAGAGTTGAAATTGAGCTGAATATTGCTATATGCAAGCTAATGCTACTGCGCACTGAAATGATATCATTAGACTCGCAGCCTCCTTAAAAAACACACAAACCAGCACACTTTGCCAGAGTGGTAGCCCTATAAGCTGACCTGCACTCAGGCTACACTGCTCCACCGACCACACTGAAAGTGGTTTGCACCACTTTTAATACTCTTCTGGTCATCACTGAAAAAGGCTGCTGAGCATGCCATGTCATTAGTACAGCATACAGCGCAGTAACTCAGTGTTTTAAACATTTTATTGTGTTTTTCATGTTAATTCAGTACAGACAGCTTAATATTCCTACTTTAGTAGCCAAATCAGCTTAATAAGCTGATTTAGGCTATCAAAATATTCAAATTATTCCTGTAATGCTGGTAATATTTTCTGATGAGGACATTCTCCAGCTTCTTGTTCAAATTTTCCCGGTCTACCTTAAATGGTGCAGAAATTACATTCTGGTACCTGAACCGTTATAATAACCGTTAAGTTTGAATGGGAAAATTTGGACAAGAAGATAGATCAATTTTTTTGAAAAACCCATTCATTTTGGCCTTAGAGAATTCAAGCTTAGACCAAGAGTTCCAAATATGGGCATAATGCGAACTACAGAATGATGTACAACTTCAGTAGTCTATTGTTTGTAATGGCTGATTGACAGGTAGGCATGTGCTGATATACAAACTGGACATCACAACAGCCTTTTCATGTGATACACAGTATTACCACAAAATTGCATTAGGAAAAATACCACTACATACAAAGGATAATACATGTACATTGATGTAGTGTAGTGAACGTAATTTTGTAATAGCAATAATATGTGGGTGGTTATGCATTTTGTGGATTTCTGTTTTTAAAAAACTCCCCTGATGACTTTGTATAAAGTCTTCCTTCATCTTTGGTAGAATAGCACAGTAAATATGATATGATAGCAGTTGTTTGTGATTTTGAACCTTAGTCTCAATATAGTGAGTCTTTTATCTCTTATCCTCATCTGTTAATTTGGTCATGCTTGCTGCTAGGGCTGCCACACTCTTTTAGCTAGTTAGATGTGTGGCAATGGCCTAGCCAATAAGCTAATGTAAACTTGAAAAGCCAGCTAATTGAGAACCATGCTGGCCAAAGACAGATAACACCACCCTTCCAACACAGATAGCTAGCGGTTAGATATACTGCATGTTTACCAGTTGTTAGCCAGTGTTACATTAGCATTTTCTGTCTGCCTGAAGAAAAAAACTGACTGCAAAAATAAAAAAATTTAAAAATGATTCTGTTGAATATCCATTCTTAATTGAACAACAGTTCTTCTTATAGCTGTTGGAATAGAAAGTTGAATTAATCTGGCTTAAGTGTTGGTTGAAAGGCTGGTGAAATACTATCTTGCACAGTTTTGAAGCTGTATCCTTTCCTTCTTTGTCTGTGTTGCAGTACCTTCATGAAAATGGAGTTGTCCACAGAGACCTCAAACCAGAGAACCTCTTATATGCTGATCTTTCAATAGATGCACCACTCAAGATAGGTAACTACACACAGAACATACACTACCTGTTTTCTTTTGGCTTCAAGAGCAGGGTGCAAATGTACGGTGATGCAAATAACAGAGTAGCCTACTTTTTAAGTTTCTCAGTATATTGAGGCTGAGGTCATTTTGCACAATTGTATGTTAATAATAAAAACTGCTTTCATAACTGGCATTTCATCCGGAACTTCCACAGCGGACTTTGGCCTCTCCAAGATAATAGATGAGCAAGTGACAATGAAGACTGTGTGTGGCACTCCTGGTTACTGTGGTGAGTCTGAATTTGTGATGATCGACTGTGAAGTGTCAATAATTTGACTCTGGTTCTTTTTCATTATATAGAATAATTTGGATCAATGTTGTTGATATTGTTTTAGTTTCTAACCACCTAAAAAAAGGGGAACATACAGGATATTCAGAAGTATACCACAGTTAAAAAGGTTATAACCATCTCCTTCTCAGCTCCTGAAATTCTTAGAGGCAATGCTTATGGCCCTGAGGTGGACATGTGGTCTGTGGGAGTCATCCTGTACATACTGTGAGTAAACATGTAAACAAGCTCAGTTGACACATTGCATCATATTCTGTCAAAACACTCTCTTTGTCACTCGGTTTCAGTGAGAGCTGTTTAATCGGTTTTCTTGCCCCTCTGCATTGCCTGTAATTCAGCTTTCATCTCTTGCGAGAAAGCCTCTCGTCTAGATCCAAAAATGACATTTGCTCTGGGATCTGCCTTTCTTCTGTCTCCTCCCCCAGGCTGTGTGGGTTTGAACCATTTTTCGATCCAAGGGGGGACCAGTACATGTACAGCCGCATCCTCAACTGCGACTATGAGTTTGTCTCCCCCTGGTGGGATGAGGTTTCCCTCAATGCAAAGGATTTGGTGAGTTCTCACTGTTCATTAGCACTTCAAACAGCATCAGTGGTTCCGTTTGATGCAGAGAAGAAAGCTTTTTAGTGTTCTAGCTGAGCTGAATGGTTCAAAGACTGAATTAGTTAAAGTGAACTAATTCAAATCTGCGAAAAATCTAATATGTACATTACACAATTTTCTGTATTAACCCAGATGTAGTTGATCAGCCAAGACATGTCAGGTGTCCAAAATTTGCTTCTTTACATTCTGGAAAAAGATGGGCTTCAAGGGTTCTTTAGTAAAGAAAATACCATGAACCATGAACACTCAAAGAACCCTTTGTAAGATTAAAGAGTTCTTTGCATCATGAAAGTGTTCTTCAGAATGCACTGTAGGTGGTTCTATATAGCACCCAAAAGGATGTTTAATGACAAGCTTGCAACAATAAAAGAACCCTTTTGGGTGCTATATAGAACCCTTTTCAAAAAGGTTCTATATAGAACCAGCACATTCTCCACCAATCTGAAGAACCATTTCACGATGCAAAGAACCCTTTATTCATGCAAAGGGTTCTTTGAGTGTTCATGGTTGTATATAGAACTATTTTCTTTAGTAAAGAACCCTTGAAGAACCATCTTTTTTAAGAGTGTAGCTACATGTTGTTGTTTTTTTATTTATCTAAGTAATGGAAGCCAATATTCCAACAATTAGTGGACAATTCAGGCTACTGCTACTACTTCTTTTTGTATGCAACACTTCATCCATTTTTATAGTATGTCATACAATACAAGAAACCATATAAGCAAGTCTATTAGGGATTAATTAACAGCTAAACGCTGTTGGAAGAAAGTGTGATTTGCTAGTTGGGCTATAAGCTTCCATTACTTGTTAACGACATTAGCTTTCAGTGCAAAATTAAAAAAGCTAATTTCAGACAGATCATATAACATTACATTACATTACAATTCTGATGTTTTTAACTACTTCTAACCAGGTTAAACCCTATGTGTCTATGTCAATTATGCACACAGGTCAGTAAGCTAATAGTGCTGGACCCTCATAAGCGTCTGAGTGTGCAGCAAGCACTGGAGCACCCATGGGTTCTTGGCAAAGCAGCACGCTTCTCCCACATGGACACCACACAAAGAAAGCTGCAGGAGTTCAACGCTCGCCGCAAACTGAAGGTTAGCTGAAGCTCAGCATGCGTTTATGATCAGTAAATTGCAAGTTAATTTGCCTGCTGGTAGCAGTTATTCTAAATGATGTACGCAGATTTCTCACTATTTATGGAATAAAACTACAAGTGCTAGTCTTATGATAATGTTGGACTACAGGGCTACTTTCTGATTTAAGTCTCTTAACCCTTTAAGAGTGAACACAGAATTGCATGGCAGGAGTTTGAGCATGTTTTGTTGGGCTGATGTCATTGAGGCAGAATCTGCTTGGCTTTGGAGTAATAAGAACAGGCGCCAGCAATGGCCAATGAGAGGGAGTTTAGTTTAAATTTTATTACCACTATCATGGGCCTGGCCATATCGGTAATAAGCTCTATTGTTGTACAATAAGCCATATACCACAGTCTGGTTGTGCTAACAATGGATCATCTCACCAGTGTCTCCCCACTCACAATTGTTGAGGGAATGTCCTTTGCTTTTGAAGTTGGTTGGTTCATATCAATGCACACAGGCCTATGATCTCTCTCTATGCAAGACAGCAGGGCCCTGAGAATCATGTGCTGTCTCACCACTGCTATATTGTGCTCACCATTAGACCAGACTGACAAAAAAATATTGTAGAGATGATTTTTAACCGTGACATTGTGATCTGTGTTAGGAATTTTAAATGCAGTGCAAATCTGGCATTATGGGACATCTAAAAAAATCACTAATGTATATATTTAATATCACATGGAACACTGTTCTAGTCCCATTGACTCCCTAGCCCAAACAGTCCATATATGAAAGCTAAGCTGCAAAAAATAGCCCGCTTTGAATTTCTCATGATTGTGATGTTACATAGCACCACCCATTTGGCCTACAGTTTAGCCTGTCCATTCACGCTGAAGTGATAAGCAGTGTTGTTACTTCAGACAGTCAAAAGTTGTGGAGGAAATGACTAAACATTGTGCTGTTTCTGGCCAGCAGGAAAAAGGTCATTTACCTATATCAATCACAAAGACACTTTGACAAAAACATCCTGTTTAACCCCTTAAATTATAGATGTAGCATTTAGTGATTAAGCATATTTAATAGGCACAAAGTGACAAGATTATTATACAGTAAGTACTATGAATTATTCATAAACTTATGTAGCTATGATTGATATAATTAATACAAATGACATGTGTTCTGCTAACAAATGCATTCTTTCACAGCAAGCTTGACATAAATCCTATTCAAATATTTTAGAAATTGTAGCTCACATTTTGCCAAAATATCCAAAATACTTTTTTTCTCTGCATTTTGAGTGCATTGCTGATTTCAAATGATATTTATTTTTATGCGTAATATTCTTTGTATATATTGCAGCAACGGTCAAGTAAAATAAAGTATGACTGTTTTTGGTACATAAAAATGAACAAATGTTATAAGTGTTATAAGGGAAAAAAATCTGTAGAATACACATAACAAATGTTACCCTCTGTCCCCGCAGGCTGCTATGAAGGCCGTCGTGGCCACCAGCCGCATGCATGAGGGCTCGAGGCGGCGCACCGACAGCTGCGAGATTCCAAACTCCGACAAGCCCTCTCAGCAGAGCGGCCTGCAGCGAGACGCCTCCATGGAAGCTCCGGCCAAGCCCATCACTGTGGACGAGGGTGCGGAAAAAGCTGAGAAGAAGGCAGAGCCACTACCTACCCCCAGTCCCCCGAGCCACGCCCCCCACAGCCCCAAACCACCTGTGATGCCACCGGGTCCCATGCCCACCCGGCCGCCCCTGAAAGCAGAGGGACTCAGACAGACCTCCGTCCTGCCCAAAGCCCCAGTGGTCCGACCCAGGGTGCCAAAAAAGAGCTGTTCCATGGATCCTGGGGGCAAAAGCGGACCCTCGCCTGTCCTGAATACCCCACCCAGCCCCAAGAGCATCAGCAATGGCTTCATTGCTGGGGTAGAGACTGGTAATAACACAGCAGAATGTCAGTAAATGCACATGATGTAAAGACACGTTTGGATGACACAAACTGGGGGTAGATGCTGATATAGTACAAGGAAAAAGGAGGTGAATAAGGCCTCAAAACAAAGCTGGGATTTTTTGGTTTGTTTGTTTTTGCTCATTTTTGCTTTCAGATATTTTAATACTGAACTTTTAGATATGCATCCCTAATACAATGAACTGTTTCTGAGAACTTAGAACATCACCAAGGAAGCTTTCAAATTCCTCAGCACTAAGCTACCAGTACAGTTAAAAACACCAAAATTGCTTTCTTTGCTTCGCATGCCAATGCTTATGTACATGAGAGTTCACTTCTGTATTTTTGCTATTATATGCAAGCATACAGACTTTATGGCTCATGCTTATTTTTCTCTTATCTAGCACTGAAGTAGAAAGGACATCGTGGTTGTGAAATTAATATTGTGTATTGTTTTTGATGATTGCTACAAAGACCTAAGGTTTGTAATTGTAAATACTCTTTTGAAATAGACATATAAATATATATATATATACTAATATTTGATTTTCCTCATAATCATTTCCCTCCCATTTGTATGTATCTCATTATATTTACATGTTTTAAGAAGACAAGCTTTGCCATGCCACTGGCTTGAGCATTAAATAAGCTTTTCTGCTCAAACCAGTGATGTGGAGACCATCTGTGTGGTGATGAAGAACAGCATGCTCTCCATCATAATGTGCAGTAGTATTTGGGCATTTCTGTATCTGAAACATAAAAGATTCTCTTCTGAAGAATTACAACGAACAGAGGTGGGTAGAGTGATTCTGGATCACCACATAGATCTCAACACGTCCCTTTTCATTTAATATATTTACTCCTCGTCATTTTCTTGTGCAGTCATAAAGCTGTGTGGAATGTTGAAAATAAACTCTCAGAAGTTAATATTGAACACAGTTACCTGTATAAGTTGTGCTGCATTCCACACCCATGTTTTTCTGCTGTACGTTCTGAGACAGGGAGATGCACACTGCTCTCCTACCAGACGTATGTCTCTAAACCACACTTTCTACCTCTTTTCTGAACAGGGGCTTCCAACCTCTCCAAGAATATTCTGGGACAAAAAAAAACAAGTTATGCTGTTTAGGCACTGGGAATTAACAGCAGAACTTATTGGCATAATGGCAGAACATAAGCCTGAGTGATATGCAAGGGCTTGTTTTCTGTAAACTGAATTTCTTTGCCTCTGTGAAAGTGTAAGAACGTAGAAAACTGCTTTTCTATGTAACCATTGGCCCCATACCACGCTATTCTGTTGCCAAAACAGGAGCTTTGTACATATTGCTGATATGCACGGCAATTAGTCACCACTAAAGTACATCTATATGATTATGTGTGATACATAAATATTTTACAATTACTATACATTGCTTAGATATGCTGTCTTCAATAAATAGCCTACAGGCTGATGTAGGTGCCATTTGTGTTTGATCAGGAGTTCTGTGTTTTCATGATTAATAAATTGTGAGTTCAGAGCTTTGTTGTTTTTGTGGGAAAATTAATACAGGAATCCTTGCATGTAAGGGCATTACTTGCAGTAACATAGTAGATTACATTAGGGTCATTCTATGCCAGCTCACCTAGGGCCTTGTAAGCAATGTCATGGATTCTAATGCAAAATATTAAAACTTTCATACAGTTTCATACAGGCTAAATTTTAAAACCATTTAAATCAAAGTTTAACTACTTACAGAATGACTGAACTGAGCTGAAATATTAACTGGGTATGAATACAATGCTAAGAACAACAATCAACTAGTTTACAATGTCAACGTGTTTTTTTTTTCTTTGAAATGAAATGTTTTAGTCAGCTTTTGAAACATTTTTGCTAAATTTAGTGTAGTGATCATTCATCTCTCTCAAATCTATGAGTTTTAATTTCACATGAAGCTACACCATCTGTTAAAAACAACTAAAAAATCCAGGACACTTGGTACCTCTGACTAGATTAAGTTTACAACTCTGTGTTTATCTATTTGAAATGCACACAAAAAAGATATATTACAACATTATTATTGTTATGCTACTTCTAGTCCTGACGCTTCCTTTGGAGAAGCGATTCTTACTTCAAAAAAATACCAAATGTTTATTAAACAAATTATGAAAAAAGGTGAAAATGGTATTATCCTGATATTTGACGATCCAAATATTATGTAGTTTTGATCATTTAAATGGGGATTTCACCTACTTTTCAACGTTTCTGCATAATTTAATCAATGTAAAGAAAGCTATTTAGCATGTTTTGGTGTGAAATGGTGCATTGTAGAGTAACTTACCAACTCTGATTTCTTTCCAGTGGTGGTGGACACCACAGGACCACGGGTTGCGAGGTCTACAATGCAAACATAGACATTTTATTTGATATCCAAAGCCACCAGTGAACCCATATATATGTGTGTAAGTTTTATATGTAATGTTTATAATGCTAAAAAAAATGCAAACTGTTTTTCTGACAATGTTCTGCATGCACCTCTATGCCTTGCATGTGTTTTAAAGACACAAGTTTATCAAAAACTATTATTAAACAATGTATCAGGCATTCATCAAAAAGCATTAAACACTATAGGCATCTGGTTCCTATCACCACTTGGTAGGTTTCACTAGAATGACATGTTTCATATGAAGTGTGACTTTTTACAACTTAACAATTCAATAAAAACAGCAGAAAACTCCTTTAACACCCATACATTTTTGAAACAGCCATTATTTCTATAAGAGGACAGTTTCATGATAATAGGTTGATGAGTAGGCACATAAAGGCCTAGTTAGACATGGCAGTACACTCTTTAAAATTATGCTTTTTCAACAGCTCTTTAATATAAGGAATCGCTCTATTTAGAATCATGAGCTTTGTATAGAACCACCTATAGAACCTAAATAGTTATTTGCATGGTGAAATGGTTCTACAGACTGATGGAGAATGTGTTGTATATGGTCCTTCTATTGTTACGCGCTTGGCATTGAAACAATGGAAGAACCCTTTTGGTGCTGTATAGACTACAAACATTTTCAAAAAGGTTTTATATAAAACCACATAGGCTACAACACATTCTCTATCAAACTGAATAACCATTTCACCATGCAAAGAACCACTTAAGCATAAAATGGTTTTATACAGAACTCATTGTTCTAAATAGAACCGTTCCCTGTGCTAAAGAACCCTTGATCTTTTTAAAGAATGTAGTTCAGACAAAGACATATATTTTAATGGAGTTCTGCATTTACACATTGTCACTGTAGAAAGCACACTCTTCCCTTTTTACGGCACAAAAAGACTTTTAGAAGTATCGGTATTGGTATCGAGATGGTAGCGTTCGCCTTCAGATGGTATCGCCCATCCTGCGCCATCACTGAAGGAGGCAGGACACCCGATCATATCCGGTAGCGAGGCGCGCCTGTACTGTCTTACCGCGGTTGAAGAAAATTCAGTCGAGCTCTTCTCTGCCTGGAAACGAGTTGGTTGTTCAACGTTAAGAACTTAAGGTATGATGTTTTTTTGTTTGCTCATTTATTTCTAAGCCTCAAGCAAAACGCGAATATCAAGCTTTAGTGACTGCGGAAACCACGAGGTGAAACATAAGAGAGGCTTTGGCCTACAACGAGCACGCCAGGCCCGGGACCCCTCTCACATTACTCGCCGTGGAGAGGAGCAGCTGGGGGGATTTTTGAGTAGTAAAACTTAAATGACAAACCAGAATACATACTGTTTGCCTTAGTGAGTTATTTCTGGTGGCTGTGTACCGAATTGATTGGACCTTACTTTCATACAGCTGGAGGTCTCAAACACCGCGAGGCGCCTTTGTGTTGAACAGCTCAGCATGTTAACCGCGCGGTCTGTGTTAGCCAGCTAGCTACATTAGCAGCTAGCCAATACTGAGGCACGTAGCTACCAACGATAGTTAAATATGTGCGAATAGCACTTTTTAACAGAGTTCTAAATAATCACGGAACTGTAGACATTTAAGTTAGCTAACATTTAGCTAGTTGACTGTAATTAAAGCGCCTTACGGTTACCGTGGGCGGTCGAGCGAGCGAGCGTTAGCTTATAAGCTAGCTGCGTAGCTATTCACCAGGCTGTTTCATTCATTCATGGGATTCTCAGGGTGGTTTTTGAAAAAAAAAAAACATATTTGGAAGGATGTTTTAGCTAGCTAAGCGGATAAGTAAGCTAATTATGGCTGACAACCTATCACACGTCCTACTTGTCGGTCTTTTAGCCGCTCAGGTTAGAATTTGTTTTACCTCAGCTTTTGTTGAGCGCGCGACCGCAGCTAAACGCAGTACAGCATTTTCGCAACGCTTTCACAGCGTTCCGGTGGTTTAAAAGTGAAGTGTTTCTGCGTTGTGCTTTGCAGCGGTTAATTTGTCCGGTTTTGTGTTCTCAGTGTTGGAATTTGGTACTGGTCAGTATCTACATGGCTGTTAGAAGGGGACACATAAGATACCTGAAGGTAAGTAACGTTATACAGATACAGAAATTAGAAATTGTGTTTTGAAGTTATTTGTCCAAATATTAAGTGCCCTCTTACGTATAAATCAATGAATGCAGAATTCCCATTATAGTATATTCCATTATTAGACATGTTTTGAAGTAATGCCGGACACAAGTTTTTTCTTATTGTGCATATTTGTATTTATTATTATTTGTATACGATTTCTGCTGTAGGTCTGTGAGGTTCAGAGCCAGGGTAATGACAGAGACTCACAGCAGCATAGCAAGAGTGCCAGCTCAATGAAGGTAGGCGTGCTGGGGATTATCGTTGTTGTTCTGGACAGATAACTTTCTAAGTTTCTAAACTAATCTAAGTTGTCTGATCACTTTAAAGAATTTGACCTTGTTTGAGTCTGACGTTAGTGGAAAAGTGATGCCATCTCATATTGCCTTTTGTATCCCTTCAGCAGGAGGTTTACGACATGCCTAATGGTTACGAGGACCATATGGAAGATGAGCCAAAAGATGCCAAAACAAACCTCATAGTCAATTACCTGCCGCAGAACATGTCGCAAGATGAGCTGCGCAGTCTGTTCAGCAGCATTGGCGAGGTGGAGTCAGCCAAACTTATTCGGGACAAAATGGGAGGTAGGTCTTTGAAAACAAACTAGTCGACCCCCTCTTCTGCACACACAGCTTGACTGATGAAATGCCCTTCTCATTTCTGATTTTAATTTTTTATTTTTTTATTTTTTTCTTGCACCAAACTTGTAAGAATAATCTTGCCATTGATATGTTTCATATCTTTGGTGTTACAAGCAGTGATCTTTAGGCAGGCACCTGGCTTTTAAGTGTGCTCCTTTTTTTTCATTTTTGAATCTAAAGATATATTTTTTTAATTTACATTATTTTCTTAACCTGGTTGAATTTGAACTGGGTGGTTTCTGGGAGCATTTCATGAAACGCTGTCCACTGTGGTGTTATGCCTTAATATTGCAATTTTTGTTTGTTTTGTTTTTTAATATGTAATGGATTGAGTGCTGCTGAATTTTTTTTTTTTTTTTGTTTGTTTTTGAGCCACATTACTGTGGTATAGTGTAATATAATTTGAATGTGATGTAATGTAGAGATTTTGCTTTGTGGCAAATGTGATTTTGTTTTTGACTTGAAAATGTGCATACCTGACTAATGTTCTTTTGTTTATTTTTAAGGAGCGATGGAAGCAATACTGCAATTTCTTGTTATGTAATGCACAACTTTGATATTCATGTCATGTAACCTTTTTTTTCCATCCAGTGACTGAGTAATTGTTCTGAAACTTGTCTTTTATTTCACAAATGTTCAGAGATTTTGAGCATTGTTACAGCATTGTAAATTTTAACATTTTGGGGTTTTTTGTTTCTAAAAACTAAATTAGTCTGCAGAATGTGGACAAACGTTTGTTATTTTTATTTTGTTGTTTTTTTTCCTTTTTTTTCCTCTAGGCCACAGTTTAGGGTACGGATTTGTTAACTATGTTAACCCTAGTGATGCAGAAAGGGCAATCAGTACTCTCAATGGGCTGAGACTACAGTCTAAAACTATCAAGGTAACGTGCAAAGAGGTGTTCTTGTATACATGTGTAAACTGATAGATATTACATGTTCATGTAGTCGCTAGGCAGCGGCGGGAAAATCCCAATACTGCCCAGTGTGTTTCTCAGTAAGAAACAAGCCTTTATAGAGGTATGAGATTTGAGATTCTTTTCTTTTTTTTCATTTTCTCATTTATTTTAATTTTTTTTATTCTGTCTGTGTTTCCAGATTGTCAAACTTCGACCCATATGATTTTTGCAATTGGCTTTCCCCATTCATTTGGCATGGTTTTATTTTCGGTACAGAATTATACTGAAGTTTTGACTTTAATATCTTTAAGTGAATATTGGTGTTTTGCCTCCTACACTTATCAAGAAATGTTTTTGTTTAGTGTTAAAGGTTGGTTTGGGAGTGGGAGGCTCAAGTGGTCATTTTGCTTGAGTATGACATTGTGCCGAACCAAAGCCCTGCACAGCAATCCCTGATGTTTTCTTTATTTTGAATATATGCACTTAAGGGATTGTTTGAAGTGGAAATTGTCCCTTTTTTACATTTAAACTGTTTGTTTTTTTAGACTTAGCTTGTAGAGCTATGTCATCATGTACAAAATGTTGATTGTTATTTTTTTTTCCCCTTCTTAATGTGTTTTAAAACTAACAAAGCTATGTGACCTTTTAATTTGGTATCGCAGTTTGTCTGTAACAAGTGACTTATTGGTTACATTCAATAGAAGTATTTATTTTTTATTTTAAGATGTGCTCTTGTAAAATGTTGGTTTCTTAAATACTGTTTCTCCTTTTCAGGTCTCTTATGCCAGGCCAAGCTCTGACGCGATCAAAGATGCCAATCTTTACATTAGTGGTTTGCCCAAGACCATGACGCAGAAAGACGTGGAAGACATGTTTACTCGCTTTGGACGCATCATAAACTCGAGGGTACTTGTTGATCAGGCTTCGGGTAAGGATGTCTCAAAACTTGCCATTTGTCTTTTTCACTGATAAGAACTGGCCATTTTAGGCTTCTAATGCTTCTCCCATCTTAGGCTTGTCACGTGGTGTTGCCTTCATTCGGTTTGATAAGAGGGCTGAAGCAGAAGATGCCATCAAAAGTCTCAATGGTCAGAAACCCCCTGGAGCCTCTGAACCAATCACAGTGAAGTTTGCAGCAAACCCAAATCAGGCAAAGAACACTCAGCTGCTGTCCCAGCTCTACCATACTCAGTCTCGGCGCTTCGGAGGCCCTGTTCATCACCAGGCTCAGAGGTTCAGGTAAGAGTTAACTCAGTCTGAATTTTATGAGTGTGCTCTTCTTCTCTGTGTGGATGTTGTGGAGGCATTGTTTAAATCTATTTTAAAATCAGAACCTGCAAGATACTGAAAGTTGTCTTCCTGTTTATAAGCTGTGCATTATTCTTGGAGTTGTTTACATCTGTAGAAATCATGTCTTTTCTCCAGGTTTTCACCAATGAGTGTAGATCATATGAGTGGTATGTCTGGCATGAGCACACCTGGCAACTCCACCTCTGGCTGGTGCATTTTTGTCTACAACTTGGGCCAAGATGCAGATGAGGGCATTCTGTGGCAGATGTTTGGCCCATTTGGTGCCGTCACCAATGTCAAAGTCATTCGTGACTTTAACACCAACAAATGCAAAGGGTTTGGGTTTGTTACCATGACAAACTATGAAGAGGCAGCCATGGCCATAGCCAGTCTCAACGGATACCGCCTGGGGGACAAGATCCTGCAAGTGTCGTTCAAAACCAGCAAGTCTCACAAGTAAAAGGACAAAAGTATTACTTTTGAGTTCTGAGAACTTGTATATTTTTTTTTTTCTGTTTCTTCCCCTCCCCAGCATCCAACCTAACTTCTGTAAGTGTTGAAACAGTGTCTCCATAAAAGTACTTGTGTATTTTTGATGTTTAAGTAAGTAGGTAAATAGTGTTGTCTCTCTTTGGGATTAAACAGACCATTTGAAAGGAGTGGATGATATGGCCTAGAAATGATTACAGTATGGTTAAAAGGTTTTTCACAGTGGTTTCACAGTATGCGTAATATTGTGGAAAAGACCTGAAGACTAGAGCTCATCATTTGGGTCTCTAATGGTGTAGGTGTATGTAGCTGGCCTTGTCTTGCCAAGACCTGGCTAATAGTCATGGTAATTTAATTACTCTGATGCTATGGAGCATCAAAGACCAAGAATAGACTTTATAAAGGCTGTATCACAAATTTGTAATATTAAAAACCCCATATAATATCAGACATCATTGCTGTGTGTTTTGTTGCTGTTCCCTATTTGTTGCGGTATCAAGTTTCCAGTGAATTTTCCCGCCCCCACTTTTTTCGTTGTTTTTGTTTTGAGTGGTTATTTTTCACCAATGATTGTTTGGCTAATAGTTACACAATGAATGTCATCTCTATGGTTCCTTTATCAAATCAAACACATTTTCAATGTAAATGTGATTCAAAAAACTAAATTTTAGTGGTTTCCCCACCAGTCATGGAAAAGACATGATCAATGAATTTGTTTTGCCAAATTGAGGGTTTTAAAAATGTACAGGAGTATAGACCACACATGCTCAGCTCTGTAAATATTCACTGAACCACATGTTTTCCTTAAGTAACCTGTTTTGAAGTGATTTAAGTTTAAAGGACCAAAGAAAAGGAGAGTATGCCTTATTTTGTTGATTTATGAAACAACCCCCCCCCCCTTTAAAGCTGTATTGCTATATGACAGAGTTAAGACATTAAAGTTTTGCATTAAAAAATTGTAACTTTTTTTTTATATCCTCTTCTGCTTGCAAATGTAGCAAATTACTGGAATGCATTTTTCTTTTCTATTCCTCTACTCCCTCAGTTTTGAAGACTTAGCCATTGATCAGAGTGTTAAGCCTTCCACAAAGTGGAATTGGTTGTCATCTCTTTCAGAATGTTTCTGAAGACAGGCTGATTATGACACTGCTATCATTATTATTATCCCCCACTTTATTTGGCAGATGGAGATCTTTATTTATTTATGGTCTGCCTTATTTTAGTTTTAGCATTAGGCATTCATTTGTTAATTTAGTGATGTAATGAAAATCCAATTATGTAAATATCATTTAGCTGTTTTTTTTGGGAGTGAAATTCAGGTTACCCCAATGAAGAGTTATTCTTATGAACACCGTACATAGATTACTGAGCATTTTATCAGTCTTGCAATGGTTAGCAAGACGCTGTAAGGTTTATGCTGACATGGGGCAGCCTGTCTACTGTAAATGCGATTCCTTTTTCTCCATATATGCATGTTCAGTTAATGCTCTTTGTCAGTAACTTTGACATCATGCACCTTGTATTAGTATGTCATGTGATGCCCATCAGAATTATAGCTAAGCTCTTGCAAGATGGGTCTTTTATGTATTAACAAATAAATACCATTGTTGTAAAATGTCCTTATTCCTGATTTTTTTTTTATTTTATTTTTTTTATTTTTGGTCCCTTGGAATTTGTCACTGTAGTCTAAAATGTGCTTACAAACTTTAGTGATGCTTAAATGTATATTAGTGAGTACTGTGATCCTGTACTATGTTTAAAAAAATACTGTTTATAATGTACATGTATGTACATACGTAGCATTTTCTAAACAAAAAAGACATGCCATCTGAAGTTGGCCGTCACTTTATATCAATAATTTTTATGTTTAATAAATCTTTTTATAGTGGAGACTTTTTACAATACTGTGCAAAAGTCGATTTTTGTCAAACCAACAATTAAGGTCACGTTATTCATTTTAAGGAGCTGTTTTGAGGAGATAAGATAATCCATTTGTATAACAAAGGTGAAAGGCAAAAGATGAAGAAAATGGAATTCCTAACAACCATGCAAAACCTAGAGACCACCAAAACTGTTGGGAAGAATAGTAAAGCTTCCGTCTTTAAGAGAGAAGAAAAGTCCACTCGTGCTTCAGATCTGAAAAAATCCACAGCTGTTTCTGTCCATCCTTCCACTGTGAGAAGATGGCTGAATGTGAAGTGTAGTGAATGTGAATGCTGATTGCTAACAAATTTTAATACATGCAAGACCCTCAGGAAAAGTGCTGAATAGGGAGGAAATTCATTCTACAGTAAGATAGTGACCCCAAGCACGCTGCTGAAAAAATCAAGACTGATTTAGCAAACCAAGTAGCTGCTGGTTTTCTCCAGAGCCGCGACCACAGCGTCACCAAATGTGTTTGAGATTAATGGATCATGGAAAACAAATCAAAGAAAATGCAACAAACTTCTAAGACTGAACTTTGGAGCTGTGGAATAATTTTCCTGCAGATTTCATTGAAAAACTGAAAGCAAGTCTGAAAAGAATGGAAGGCCTAAAAAAGGCGTAGAGTGGTCACACTAAATACTGAAATACTGTTTAGTTGTTGACACTTCTTACTTTTTTGTCAGATATATGTTTTCTGCTTTTTTTTTCTGATGTTGAAAAACGAATAACATACTTGATAGCCATTTGGACTGGAGATAAATGAAGGCTTTTCTCTGACTTTTGCACAGTACCATATATACCCTTAAATATACCCATATACATTTTTAGGATAACAAGGATTGTTTTGAAATCTTCTGTTACCAAAAACAGTTAATAAAAACAGTGCACTGGTAAAAATGACCTCCTCTGCTTAGATTTATGGTTTGTCTTTGACCTTGTCACTTTCCTGACCTTCTGAATTAGCGGATGTTTGGGCCGTCAGTGCAGATGAATGGCTAAAGTGCCATTAATGTCCTTGACACTGTTGATCCTGAGCTTAGGAACTTAAGGCAAAGCAAGTCCATCTAATTAGTCTTAAGCGCTTGTTGCTTGCTTTCCTAGTAACTAAATCTGCCGTTGACGCTGAAACCACCTGCCAACACATGCGGCCTGTGGATTCTCAGGACTACGCATGTTTGATCAATTAACTGAAACATCTCCGTAGTGCATTTTATTACAAAAAATTTCAATTCATTACACATTAATAAAACAGTAAACCAAATGTATAAAAAACATCTCAAGAACTGCCTCATTTTGACAGCATGCTTCAGTGAAATAGTAAATAGTTTGCCTTACAATGAGTAATTTTGAGTTAGTCGCCAACTGTTACCTTACTTTGTTAGTCACGTTTTAAGGCAATGCATTTATAGTCTTCTGCTTGATGACATGAACAGCAGTGTTTTAAAGATGCAGTGTGTAAGAATTCGTTTGCAACCAACTGAATACTCTTCCCTCACCCCTCCCTTTCCAAGCGTGTAGTAGAACCTACGATGGTTGTCCGATTTTCTGCCGTCGCCTGTTCCGATTTTGTTTGCTTCTTCATGTTTTGCTTCTTTGATCATCCTCTTGTAAAAATGGTTAGCCAGCACTGGCAGCAACCACTGATTGTTCTTTCTACCTCTTTCAACCAGTGCTATAGCGCCACCAAATTTGAGCTGCAGCTTCAACGTAAAAACACAAAAGGCACTCTCTAAAGCCTGTGTTTGGTTTGTCTGTTCTGAGCTACTTTAGAAACATAGCGGTGCAACATGGCGGCCTCTGTTGGAGGACCTGCTACCCACGTAGCCATGAAGGGCTTGTTGTAAGCTACCGAAAACACAATGATTCGTAGTTACAGATGATTATGCATGAATGGTTTTGTATATGATATTCCATTTCTGCTAGTCGCTCCCCCTAAAACTTAAACACTGCACCTTTAAAGATGAACATACATGCCAGCATGCAGCTGGGTCCCTTGTTCTTCGTCACTTGTCCAAAAGTGACTCTGAAGTCAAAAGTCTCTTGCAGTCGAAGTGAATTGCTCTGCAATACCAAATAACTGCCAGCAGTCTATCACAAGAGAAAACAGTGTAGAAATGCATTAAACTCTGTATTGTATCATGGCACAAACGTAGAGACTCATCTCCAGAAGAGTAAGGGTGGTGATTGTTGTAAGGCTTCTGTTGGTGAGGTCAGACTTGACAGATGTTGTAGTAGACTGTGGGTCGCTCAATAACTGTATCTCCAACCACCTCAAATATGCAGTCTTTTCCAGATATTAGTGGCACCTCTGTCAAAGGCACGTTCTCCATGTTTTGGGCGCCTTGTGTATTCCGCGACGGCCCGCTGGGTTTCCCCTGGAAAAAATGCCAAAGGTTTGATTACTTAGTTTGTTGCAGCTTTATGTTATTATGCATTGTTAATTAATGTTGTTGTGTGTCAATGTGTTAATTGTTATCATGATGTTGGCTTTTGCAATACTGATATCGCAAATGTACAAATGAGCCCTTTGACCAGTTGGAGTCAATGATTTGTACTGTGTGCTGCAAGCATTTTCACCAATCACAGTTCCAGATGAATGTTTCTGTGGGTGTTTTGATAAAGAAAGGTGTTCATGTAATCCAACAAAACTAAATTATTATTATTGTTATTATTATTATTATTATTATTATTATTATTAAGTGCAATCAAGTCTATTCTGATTCCTGGTGACCATGTGAATATTGTTTCTCCAGAATATCCAGTCTTGTTTTTGGGTCTTTAGGTTTCTCAGTGGTTTGTTTAGTCCAAAATAAAAGGGCTTCAGTTTAGTTAACTGGTCAGCGATTTGGTCAGCGATCCATTTGTTTGATTTCTTTACCATCTCAGGTACTCTCAAAAGTCTTTCCCCAACACCAGAGTTCAAAAGCATTAATACTGTATTGTCCCACTACTGGCTTGTGTTGCCATGGTCATGCAAGGAGGCTCTTAGGAAGCACTTTGTTCACAGTGGGAGAGACTTTTATTGTAAAGTTGTTGTGGTTCAGTTAAAGATGCGCACATGTTGTGTGTGCTGTTGTGTGCTGTGGGGTAGTTTGTCTCATCAAGTGAAAGTATGACCCGCCTGCTGTCTTGGCCATTTCAGCAGTGCTGAGCAGCGATTCTCCCTTGCTGCCTGTTCAGTAAAAGTGCATTCGCCTATAAAGCACAACATTTCCCTTTTCTTGTCTTGCCCAGCTTTCACATCCATAATGAACCACAGAAAAGAGTATGGAAAGTTATGGTCTTTGATGTGTAGAGACTCCTTCACCCTCTTTGATGTGTAGAGGCTCCTTCATCCTCGTTTTGCCAAGTGCCAATCTGTGTTTCTTTATTACTGGATCCTTAGTTGTTAATAATTGATCCAAGTGAAAAAAAAGCTGTCCAACACTTCTAGATCTTCACCATTAATGGTAAAGTTAGTGGTCTTACTCCACTGTCATAACCTTTGTTTTCTTCACCAATGCAAATGTAATATATTGCAAGTCATATTACAAGATATAGCAATATAATTAGAAATATACTAGTAATTGTTGGACATAGTGCAGCCCTTACATTGATGTAAATTGCTGTTGTCTGATAATTACAATAGGCAGTAATGTGTAAGGACTTACCCCTGTGTCACAAGGAAAGTCTTTCCGACACAAATGAGCGATGATTCCAGCTGCCAGGGCATCTCCTAGTACATTAATCATTGTTCGGAATCGATCCCTTTGAAAGAGAATGGAGGGACTCTCTTTAATGAGCTAAATATTTGTACTGCTACTGCTTATATTTGGTTTCTCATTGGATAATCAACCGCTACTACCAAGTATGTGGAAGTTATCTTCAACTTACAGAATCCAGTCGATGGCCACAATTAGCGTGATGTCATCTGGTGGCAAGCCCACAGACGTCAGCACTATTACCATGGTTACAAGGCCTGCCTGAGGGATCCCTGCAGCACCAATGCTAGCGGCCGTTGCCGTTATGCTGTCAAGAGCCAGGAGTGGAGAGAGCACATTCAGTGTACATGGCTGATGAAATCATGGCAAGGATTTTAGCAGTCAGTTGAACACTGCTAATGACTCCTGCATAGAAGCTGACACAACATTTTCAGACCATCTTAATGCCTGTGGATCTTGAAGCAAAAGGACCCATCAAATACAGCACTCAGTGGTGTTTATTTGTGGATTTTTACATACCTATTCATAATTACTCCCCCATCACCTTTCACATGATGCTACCAAACTGTGACAGTGAAGCCTAGCACTTGCTTCCTCCAAGACACATGAATCAGCTGCCACATCTTTTCAAACTGCTGCTAATGCAGTGTCGTTGGGCAGCTCAACATGCTTGGAGGAGAGCACTAACTGCCAATATTTTTATGCCAACTAACAGACACCCAAACTGCCTAGTATCGTGCTGAGTAACTGGGGGCAGATTCTTGCAAATTCACAATGATAGGGCCAATGCTTAGATGGTTGCACCATGTGGAAGCCCAGTAGTGGTTAAAATCTACTTATTCTACTTTGCCTGCTGAGTGTAATTCCATCTCACATTGCCAGAGCCATGGAGCAAGGAAGCAGTAGTGTTCACCTTATTGTGACCAGCTGTCCAAAATCCAGCTCATACTCATTGACCTGAGCGATGAAGATGGCGGCCACCGCTTCATAGAGGGCTGTGCCGTCCATGTTGATGGTGGCACCCACAGGCAAGACGAACCGTGCTATCTGCCTGTCCACATGACAGTTCTCCAGCAAGCACTTCATAGTGATGGGCAGTGTGGCAGAACTGTCAAAATTGAGAAAAAAAACAATCACCACATGATGCCTTTCCATAAATGTCTAGTTAATTTGTAAAATTATACACACATACTGTTTCAAGGTACATAAATCTGTGATCTCATAGTGTTACACTATTATGTTTTTTTTTATGAAAATGCAGTCTCAAATAGACTCAATTCAATTTGAATGATTATTTGGTAATTGACAATGTTTATTAATCGAAGAATACACTGATTACACAAATATGACTGGAGGAACTATGTACACAGTAGTGGAATATAAACAATAAAAACAATACACCAAAGAGTTTTGGATTTTTACCTTTGAAAACAACCTGGGAAATTTACTTTAGCCAGAAACTAAGTGCACATTTTTTATGGTTAATTGAGTATAACATTGTTTCATACCAAAATAGCTGCAGTTAAAGCCTCTTCACATCGAAGTATTGATGCATTTTACAACTTCAACAGCTTCATTTTGTTTTTTTTTCACGTCACATTAAAAGCAATCACAATCAAACATTACCATCATATTATTATTTAATTATTCATTATTAACTATTAAATGGGCTCTCCAACCTTGATGATGTGGCCAAGGCGATGACCATAGCCTGCAGCAGACCTCTAATGTAAGTAAATGGGTTCTTCCGCGTCAAGAGGAAATAGAAGAATGGAAGCAGAATGAGGCCATGGATAAACAGCCCACCCAGAACTGTTACTGTGTACCAGCCCAGCTTCCTGCCCAAAGTGGATGGATCGTCCATGTCAAGGATCTTCCCAGCCACCAGGAAGATGATCCCAAATGGAAAATACCTGTCAAAAGGAGACATGCTCTGAATTATGTGCATTTTTTGTACTCAATATATCTTCAAATAAAAATGTACCCTGCAAACTGAGAAAACAACGTGTGTTGTTCAGTGCATTAACCTCCTCAGTGCATGGAACCTTTTGTCTATTTCCTTTTTTCAGTAACAGCTTCTTGACAGCTACACATCTTTTCAGACCCACAGTGTTGAGTTTTCTTCTCATAGTGGAAGGATGGACAGAAACTGGATTTTTTAGATCTGAAGCCAGAGTGGAGCTTGATTTTCTTCCCTCTTTTAAAGATGTAAGTTTTAAGTACTGTTTACTGTTTATCTGATGGTAACAGTTTTGGTGGTCCTACAGGTCTTACATGGTTGTTACAGGGTATATATTTTAATATTTTTTAACTAACTCTAACTGGAAACTCCTGTTTTTCATTTACTTTCCTTATATCTAATCTCCTCAGAAATACCTCCTGAAAAATGAATGACGTACTTAATAGCCTTTGGACTGGAAAGTAAATAAAGGAAGGGTGGTCTCTGGCTTCTGCACAATACTTTTCAAATATTAAACAATATTAAGCAATCACAATCAATTCTAATGTTTAAAAATCAATGCAGTGTCATGAGCACCTACATATCAACACATCACAATATAGTGTTTTTATACCTCCAAAATATTCAAATTCTGAAAAATTGTCATGCAAAAGCACAAATCATTGATGACAGCACATAATCTATCTATCTGTGGGGTCTAATGAAATGTTTGGCAGTTTGTCAGTGTTGTCACTATTTGGCATGACCTTCTCTTAAATGAGTCAGTAAAGAGACTTCACTCAGCCATTATGCCAAGCAGGAGGCCTGACATCAATGCATTTAACATCACATGAGCAACTATAGTGTTTAAAATGTGCTGTAATCCATATTTTAGCAATGAAACATGTAAGGCTGAGGAACATCTAAGCATGTTGTTCTTAAATGATGACGACATCACTGGTCGTGGCCACCCTGCTGACCTATGGCATGGAGGAGTGTGTGATAGCACTTAAGCGCAGGTGACTTTTAATCTGCTGCACGCGCCAACATGGTTTTAACACACCTGTCCTGGGCACAGTTCACGTGCTGCCTGCATGCAGGAACCTCTTCTCATCGACAGTGACGCGTGAGCACGGGCTTTGAATGTTCTCAATGGAGCACTCATTGTTTAGGAGGGCGCTCATTGTTGATAAACCGTAAAATATGATTTCAGCAATAACTGCTAAAAAAGGCTTTCCAAGAAAAAAATACAAATGTACGTTGTCGAATGTATGATCATGTATGTTTTCTGTTTTTATTTTTCTACACCATTTAAACATGGAAGCTGTCCTTTACATTGTTTTAAAAAAATATGATACATGGACCAAAAAAAATGCTTCAAAGTCACTTGGAATAAAACATCTTTACATTCAATTATATTAAAAGCTAAAGATGTTTCTGCCTTCTCCTGTAAAGCTACTAAGATACTTGAAGATACTTGTTTTTTTAGTTATAATTCATTTTTAATGAACATTTTACAACCTGCTTCCATCCATTAGGCTGCTTTCGGTTCTGGGCCAAAAGTGGCCAAGCAGCAGTGAATGTCTTTCCATTCTTTTGATATTTTTGCACAATTAAAAGAATCATTAAACACATAAAATAACTTAGTATAGGATATTTTGTCCTCTTGATTTCTTTAAATGCTGAAGCTCTATAGGGTTTAGATCTGGACTCTGACCAGCTCAAAACCATCAGTGAAAGCCATTATATTTTGCGCTTGGCCCATTTTCTGCACGGGAGTGTACACTTATCCAAACATATAGTATGTGAAATACTGAACACTAACCAATTATTTACAAACTTCTTTTTTAATCCTTATTCAGTTCATTAAGCTCTCAGGAGCATCTGAATGTGAGAGTCAGGTGGGCATTGTTAGAGCTGTAATAAAACTTTTTTACACCGACCAGCGCTTCATTAAGTAATGGCCACACTCATTGTCCACTTTATCAGTCCCACTTACTATATAGGTGCATTTTGTAGTTCTACAATTACAGACTGTAGTCCATCTGTTTCTCTGCATACTTTGTTAGGCCCTCTTTTACCCTGTTCTTCAATGGTCCTCCACAGGACCACCACAGAGCTGGCATTATTTGGGGGGTGGATCATTCGCAGCACTGCAGTGACACTGGTGTGGTGGTGGTGTGTAAGTGTGTGTTGCGCTGGTCTGAGTGGATCAGACACAGCAGTGCTGCTGGAGTTTTTAAACACCTCAGTGTCACTGCTGGACTGAGAATAGTCCACCAACCAAAATATCTGGCCAATAGCGTGAGCAGCGTACTGTGAGCAGCATCCTGTGAGCAGCAACCTGTGAGCAGCATCCTGTGACCACTGATGAAGGACTAGAGGATGACCAACACAAACTGTGCGGTAGCAGATGAGCTGTCATCTCTGACTTCACATCTACAAAGTGGACCAACAAGGTAGGTGTGTCTAATAGAGTGGACAGTGAGTGGACACAGAGTTTAAAAACTCCAGCAGCACTGCTGTGTCCGATCCACTCATCCCTGTGCAACACACACTAACATGCCACCGCCACATCAACTATGTGGTGGTCTTGTGGGGGTCCTGACCATTGAAGAACAGGATGAAAAAGTGCTAACACAGTATGCAGAGAAGCTGATGGACTACAGGCTGTAATTGTAGAAAGTGCACCTATATGGTAAGTGGAGCTGATAAAATGGACACTGAGTGTAGATACAAGGAGGTGTACTTAATGAAGTGGCCAGTCAGTGTATATCACAGCTGTCCAGAGAAAAACAATATCTCTAAAACGGTAAATTTACAGGAATGTTCTATATTTTCAGTGTAAGTTAATGTGAAGAGAATTTGTTTGGAACATCTCTATTGGTTGAAATGTTCACACAATGTAAAAGACAACTGCTGAGCTCAAATTATGCAGAAAACTAAAAAATGCTTATAATAAAGTATTTTATTATAATATTATAATAAAAATGCTGATCTCCATAAGCTAAACTCAAAAAGCTACTGCAGACATTTAATCACATCCACTTGTTTTATGTTAATAAATGACATAAAAAAAATCACATGTATTTTTTCTTACCATACTGCTGCATTGATGATCTTCATGACACACTCGTTGATGCACTGGCAGACATTGACTAATGGTGCTCCTCGCTCACCCATTCTGCCAAGCAGGAGGCCTGAAAGTGCACAGCATTACTTAGTTACACTATATTCTCTAATAATAAGCGTTTCAGTGATAGAAAGTATGTGCAGTGGTTCCATGGTGTTTGCTATAGTTTAATGTAGTGTTAAATGGTATTGATACCATTCAATATCACAATACGCCCCAAACACATCAAGTTATCAGATAATCTTTAGTTTAAACTAAAACTAATAATTAATTATTTATATTATATTTAATTCAATTAATAAAGTTAATGAACCCATGCTGCTGCTCTTGCTAAAAAAAGACATGGTATATAAGTTCCATAGCTTGTTTTGCCCTCAAAGTTCCTATATCTTATATTTTGCTGTAATTTTCCTATTTTCACTATGATGTTTACATGGTTTTATATACTAAAACAGCTAGAATTCATTTTCCAAACTCTCTTCATCTGTTAGAATTAAACAGACTGTTTTACTTAATGTGCCATTAAGACTGACATATGTAAATGAGCTCTTTACAGGCAGCCCTGTGTTGTGCTGCGCTGCATTCAAAAAGCAGTCAAGGCTGAAAAACTCATATTCCTTCAACATCAATAGAAAGGGTAACCTGCTCTTACCTACAAGTGGATGCAAAAGTTTGAACAACCCTGGTCAAATGACATTTTGTTGATTTTCTAAGTGAAAATAAGATAACACATCTACAGAGAACACACACACTTCAGTGCATAATTACTGTTTATTTATTTATTCATTTTTTTACTGAATTTAACATATTGGATGTATGTTAAACTTAAGAAGTAAATATTTTTCCAATGTGTCAAACTAAAATAAATAAAAATTGTGCACTAAATGTGGCAGAAAGTGCCATATTTAAGTGTGTTCTCTGTAAAGGACGTGTTAACTTACTTTTACTTAGAAAATCAACAAAACATGTCATTTGACCAGTGGGGTTCAAACTTTTGCATATTACTGTGTCTGTGACATCACAAAACAACAAACTAAAAATGGGCTGTTTTTGCAACTAAATTTTCATATATGCAAAGAAAACTGTTTTACCATTATATGGGCCCTTTAAAATTTCACAGCAGAGAACATTACACAGTATTGTAAATGTTGATCAGACAGAAAGCAGATTTCCAGAAAGTACATATGATATTTCCTAAATGTGTGCATAACTGTTCTGTCGTAACAATCTGAAGCACTCCACAGATGACATACATTGAAGTTAGCTAAGTTTTTAACACTGCTAAACCTAAAATGACACCAATACTGCAATACCACCGGTATACCAGACGATATTTCACAGAGTTCTAGTTCAAGGCTGGTCATGTCCAAGCTCATGGGAAACTGCCCTAAAAGCCTTACCCATAGTGGCTGAGAAGATGACGATGCCCAGCACATTCATCTGCTGGCTACTGCCAGGGATTGTCTTGTAGTGAATGTCAGGAGGTGGCGTGAGCTCCAGCAACACTGTGCGGCCTTTAGGGTTCTCCTCATCTGGCATAAGGTAGACGAAACTGGGCTGCTTGGTGGTGACTTGTGTTTTGACAATAGGAATGAGGTCTGTCTTGTACTGCAAAGACATAACAGAGATGCAGAGGCTTACAGAAGAGTGGTGCTACTTTGTAAAGGATTACATTATTGAAACAATGATCATTTGAGTTTAAGCTGCTCTTATAGACAAGGTTAGAATGAACCAGATGTTGGCTTATGTACCTGTTGAAATGTGGCCTCGATGAGATTTGAAGGAATCATATTCCTGAAGAAATAACAATAAAGAGAACTCAGTGGTTTTGTTCATCTATAGAACACTTTCAACACAATAGCAGAAAACATTTTTTAAATAAAAAAGTCTTCTTTCAGATGTCTGAATGCTTTGAAAGTCTATGACAATACATTTGCTTCCTGACAGCCAGAAAGAGCACAACGTTTAATTGTAACTCTGCTACATATTGTCTGCAGTAACATCACACCTCATCACTTCAACATGGTTAAACCAGAGAATTCCTAGTAAGGAGAACTGCCAGGTTTGTTAGATGCTAAAGCAAGGGTCGCCAATGTTATCTGGAAATGAGTGGTGTGGCTGCAGGTTTTCATGCCAACCAAACTGGTGCACACCTCATATATCTAATTAGTTGTTTAATGAGTGAGACAAACTGATTAAACAAGTGAAATGAAGTGTTTTTCTGCTTGATTTGAATGAAAACCTGCAGCCACACCGGCCCTTTGGACATAAGATTGCCAACCCCTGCGCTAGGGGGCGCTCCTGAGCAAGTCCAAAATGAATGGGTTCCTATGAAGCTCTTGTGCAAAATCATAGTTTGTGAATGTTTAATCATTTTTAGGCAGAAAAATACACAGAACAGCATAAAATAATTCAATATTGCTGTTATATTTTTTGAACACTTCCAAACTCCGGTAACAGGTCTTTCTCACAGTGTCTCATGTACATTCATGATGTCAGTGATTTACTGCTTCATTCAGCCAATAAGCCCTATCAGCTCACCAAACAGTCAGAACTCAGTAACAGTAATGTTAGTGTCTCGCTACACAAAACCTAAGTTTCTTTGATTTTTTAATCAAATACATTCCTCTAGTTTCCAACATTACAGTGTTTTTAGCCATTTAACTGCATTCACCCCTATTCACTGAGGACCCCACTACCATTTTGCTGTCATTTTTGGCATAATGGGAGAAATAGGAAGTGGTTAAGCTTCTCTTAAACTGGCTATGGTTAAACTGCATGAATTTACAACTATCTTTGGTGCAGTTTTAGCATTAAATAAATTTATACTTGTGATGTAATTTCATTTAATGTCTAACTGTTTTAAGTGCCTATTTTTCTAATGAATGTTGACCTTTTTCTGAATGGCTATTATATATGTTAAAGCTATACTATGTAGGTTTTGGAGATTTGGAGACCCCTCTGGTGGATATGTGTAATTGCATGCAATGTGTGGAATAACACCGGGCCTCAATCACCAACTGTTCTAAAGAAGAAATTTTTTCTTAAAACGCACTTACGCAATTTTAATGAAGATTCTTACATTCACCAATGTTTTTTTATTTGGGATTTGTTCTTTTAAAAAAAAATTAGGAAGATATTGATGAATGAGGCCCAGTGTGTACTGTGTTTTTGCTTCAAGAGTCACAGTCAGACCTGGAGTGTATTAATTAGTATACCGGCGCAAGCCAGACACCATCCCCTCATGACCACCACGGGCAGGGGACCCTCTGCAGTGATCACCACTGGTTACTTAGCCAGTAAACCAGTTCTTTGCATGGATTACTAAAAATACACTAATCACCCTTCCGCTTTAATTGGATTACATAGTGTAGGATGGCCTGAACTCCTCAGACCTAGACGCTTCTCGTGAATGACGGAAGTCTTTGGAAAGATAAGTGTATATGATATTATTTTGGACATCAAGCCACTTCAAGCACCCACGTTGCTCCATATAAGACTGAGTCATCTATAATGCTCAAACTGAGCCCATCATTTAAAGCCTGCTGCTTTAGTCTTAAAAGGTTCTTTAAAGGTTCTTAAATGGTCCTTGGCTTGGCTGTACAGTTCTTGGAAAAACCCCATTTAACCCCTTAAATTCTCAGGCCTATTACATCCTAAGGCCTGTTATTCAGTAAGTACAGCAATGCAAACTGGCTGGGAAGTTCTTAGGAGTGAGAAATCAAAGCGTGGACATGCTGATGAATCCTGGCTATTGAAAGGAACCCTCTGGCCAAAAACAAATATGGCACAGTAAGTTCAAGAGTGACACTTTTCCGTTTTAAAGACTAGGAAAACCCCATTTTGATGAGGTATTATGAAGGTGGCAGAGCATTTAAAAACTACAACTGCTTTGGGGTGGATTTTAGGGGTGGGCTGTCTGTTTTTTTTATTCACTGGTGGACACAGATGGAAGGTGGATAGCTAGAATTACTCTTAGGATGCAGAACATCTTATGGCAGCCATATAACTGTAGCAGTAACTGTCTATAAATCAGCATTACAACGGAGAGAATGAGATTACTTAAACAACTGAAATGACTTGTCAGATGATGATGGACAATAACAAGAGGTTTAGATAGACAGTAAGCTAAAAGCTAAAATTAGAAAGGCTACCTGGCTGTCTAGATACCTTACCTCAGTTTAGCTCTCTGGCATCCATTTTTTGCTGAATAAAAATAGAACTACTGTTTTGTTTTACTAATTTGTTCGAACAAGGTGTTACATCAATGCTAGTTTGATTGTTTTTATTAGCCTATAGATCAGTGGCTAGGCTAGCAGTCAGGATTTGTTGACACCACAGGGATTCCCAGTGACCATATTAGGAATTTGTGTAATATATGCACGCTGATGACCAAAAACATAAAAACGATAGGAAGTTGTGAATTCTTGTCTAAAACAAAATACTAAAGGCATAAGCAAGACGTATGAGGAAGTCCAGGTGCTGAACCAACAGAACAGAATGAAAATAACCCTGAATAAGTTTTTTAAATATTAAAAAGGTTCTTCAAACTTACACATCTCTTTAAAGAACCTTCCATTTTTGGGACCAGATTCTCTAGGGAAAGTGGATCTTCTAAGAACCCTTAGTGAATTAGTAATCACGAGCATGAACCTTCTTAAGGAAAAAGGATACCAACTGAACTTTCCTAGAACTATACATCCAAACCAAGAACCACTTAGGAACCATTTACCAACATTTATTTTATATTTAAGACTATATTAAAGCATAATTTTAAGAAATGTAATCTACTTTTTACTCGAAATTGAAATAAAAAGTGAAAATAAGTACAAATCCAGCAAAATTTTAATCGAGTACATGTAACTGAGAAAATATAACTAGTTGCTACTTGGTTTCAGCTAAGTGAAAGCTGGACTGGATACCTGACAAGGTCCAGAAGTGCATCTGCAGAGGTCATTACTGGACCCCCTCCAAGCCTGTTACCCTCCATCTCAGTCCCATAGCCCGGCTTGATGATTAGCACCAGTACAATACCTACGACGACAGCTATGAAGGTGGTCCACAGGTAGTAGGTCACAGTCAGAACCCCCATACGACAGCAGGCCTTAGATTCCATCGATGAGAGACCTGACATTAAACTACAGACACAAGGAAAAGGTTAAAATGAGGGGGAAGACAAGATATGTGTGATACCAAAAATGTTGTAACATTCAATAAAACTGTACCTTGAGGTGATTAGTGGCAGGATGAGCATTTTAAGCATTCTCATCAGGAGTTCTCCAGGAAAAGAAAAATACATTTTTGCCTTTAAAAAAAACAGAAAAAAAATTCTGTCAAATAGAGCAGTTATCAACATTTAGTTAAATGAGACAAATTTAGGGGTGGGCGATAGAGCAGAAACATAACATCACCATAAGACATTTTTACGATACACAACACGCATAATGATATTTAGTTTTGGAGTTTAATAAGTTGGAACAGATAAACAAGAACCAGCACTGCCACATTTAAAAAATACTATCAGAAACTGTGACTACAGTGATTTTATTCAACATTTTATAAATACTTTATATTCAGCATCAGTGTTCTACTAGTGCTAACGTTATCCATGATATACTCAGAAAAGCATATTAAATATATAAAACGATAAATATCCTCATATTGCCCGTCCATCAAAGGACTGTTGGACCTTTTCTGAACATTGATATGTTAGATTTATTTTTAGATTTCATTATTTGAATGACATCATAGCATTTGGACCGCTACATAGCTTAAGTTTTTTTTACCAACCACCTTAATTACTATAGCAACTGCCTAGCAAGACTGTGGCAATAACCTAGCAACCACCTAACAACCACCTGAAATACCATGGCAACCATCGAGCAACACCCCAGCAACACCCTGGATATTACTTACACTGTGTAATCACCCTAACTTTTCTAGTTATGTTTGTAACTTGTGAATTACATTCAAATAACTTACTTTAGTCAACACAGGCTGGCAGTTAGGTCTACTTGGGAATATCATATTACAATAATATATTATTGTGTTTTGAGGTGTACTTGTTCTATTCTGTTGCGGACTAGTGATGTAATGTTATGCCTAGTATTCTAGTACATTCACTGTAATCACGTCATAATTGTGTAAATTGTGTTATTTGTGTCACATTTTCAACTTTTAATACTTATATAATAACAAATAACTTTAATGCCTAAATAATGTTGTTGCAGAATACACCAATAAAAGCTAAGGCAATCATTTGTCCATTAATTTGTAGTAAGTTTTGCTAAATTAAGCCATAACATGGGTAATCCAAACCTCCCTGTGAACTTAATTTTCATTGATTTCATTGGGATTCTTATATTTTCGTGAAGAATATGTTGTCAGTGTATCCTTGTCATTTTTTTATTCATCATTTGAGAATGCCAGCTGCCCAGTACATTGTCTGATAATTTCATGATAAAATAGAATGAATAAATAGAAATTATGCAAAACTTACTTGCATTACTTTGACTTGCATTAACAGTTATGAATGTTTATTCTTTTTCCTGAAAAGTAACCATTTTGAAGATGTTTTGTTTTGACAGCAACAACATGACAGTACATATTATTAGTCACTGTACAATGCGCAACACTATTTTTATCTGATTTATGTTATTCTTTTCCCTTATTATTTTTCTTCCAATTTCTGTCCACTAAATTGTTCGACAGCTTTCGAGACACCTATCTAACACCAGAATGTTCGGTCTGACTGTGAGAAATGTATAGATGTACAGTTTCCATATAGCAACCGTTCAAAGTCAGATGCTTTCCTACAGGAATCAATGTCAGAATGCTAAAATATGATTGTGCAAAAGTTTGTGCACCCATCTTATGTCACCATGCCACCTGAGACACTACAGCAACCACTTAGCAACACCCTAGCAATCACCTTGGATACCTTAGTAACACCATAGCAACCACCTAAAATACTATAGCAACTGCCTAGCAAAACTGTAGCAATAACCTAGCAACCACCTAACAACCACCTGAAATACCATAGCAACCACCTAGCAACATCCTAGCAACCAGCTTGGATACCTTAGTAACATCTTAGCAACCGACTAAAATACTATAGCAACTGCCTAGCATGACTGTAGCAATAATTTAGCAGCCACCTAATGACCACCTGAAATACCATCTAGCAACAACCTAGCAATCAGCTTTGACACCTTAGCAACCATCTAAAATACCATATCAACTACCTAGCAACACCCTACCAATCACCTTGAATACCTTAGCAACACCTTAGCAACCACCTAAAATACTAAAGCAACTGCCTAGCAAGACTGTAACTTAGCAATGACCTAGCACCTGCCTAACAACCACCTGAAATACCATAGCAACCACCTAGCAACACCCTAGCAACACATGTAATCACCCTAACTTTTCTAGTTATGTTTGTAACTTGTGAATTATATTTAACTTACTTTAATTATATTAACTTACTTTAGTCAACAAAGCAGTTAGGTCTACTTGGGAATATTATATTTAAGCAACAGAACACAAGAGGGAGTGTTATCGCGAAATAACATCATGGCTGTGATTTGGTCCCAGGCACGTTCTCCAGCTCCTCACACAGACCAAATGACAGTTTGGGAATTTAGTATAGTCTCATCTTGAGAGTCTGACCAAATCGGCTGTCGGTCAAATGTGATCTTAAAGATATCCATTTTCTGTTTGTGCGCAAAGTAAGAAGTAAAAACATTCAAATGGCTTGAGCGTCTTTTACAGCTGTCAAATTCGTTGCTTAGCAACAGCGTCGTCTCAGCGGAGTGATACACTGTTTGTGAAAAACCCGTAATGTTATGGTGAAATAACAGCACGGTTAGAACGCTTCTCAACCAATCAGCTTGCGTGGCCGGAACTAACTGTTGTATATTATGATGATATACTACTGTGTTCTGAGGCCTATACTTGTCCTATTCTACTGTGGACTAGCTATAGAATGTCATGCCTAGTAAACAGCTGGCTGCCCATTGGCTTCTATTCTATTTGTGTTTTGATACAGCAGGTTTTTGTGTTGAAATTATTGTGTGTGATAATCGACTGCACAGTATAGATGCAGCAGGTAGAGATTGACACTGGAGTATTCATTTAAAGAACTACCACTGAAAGGTTCTTTAGGGAAAAAGAAGAAGTTTTTCTATGTCATCACTCCAAAGAGCCCTTTTAGTTCTATTATTTTAAAGAAGGTAACATTCCCCTCAGCACTTCTCACAAATTTGCAATAAGATGAATTTCCTTTTCAGTTTCACCTTTTGATTGAATGAAGAACAAAGTCTAAAGACGAGGTGCTGCTCTGCACAAGCAGTGGAAGAAGATCAGGTTACACAAGTCCATGCTGTTGTTTGCCTCTTGGTAGATCTACTAGCCAACTTTTCGTTTGGCCTTTAGCCACGTCATGCACGTTAGAGCTCATTAACCTGTGGGTGTGGGTCACGCATCACGCACGAGGTGACCCAAGCTATCCCACACTGTTTGCTTTGGCAGACTGGCCTGTGTCTGGATTTAAAGTCAACAGAGCTTGACTTGGCCTTAAGCACTTCCTAACGCCGACCTTTAACACAACCACTAGGCTGGGAAAGCATTACTCATTTCCAACTTCTTAACTGTCTTTTAATAGTACGGATGTTCTGCGGACTCCCACACAGACACAGAAATCTACAACCTCTTTAAATAAGGGTTGTGAAAAACACTATGTGTTAGGCCTACGATCTTAACAACAATGATTCCTCAAAGGTTTCCTTAGTAAATGCAATGGTTATACAGTACTGTGCAAAAGTCAGAGACCACCCTTCATTTATTTAACTTACAGTCAATATGGCCATTGAGTGCAAGTAACTGAGAATCAGGAATTACTATTTTCTTAGTATTTAATGTGTCCACCTTTTGCCTTTATTACAGCATCCACTCTTTTCAGGAGACTTCAGTCATAGAAGTTGGTTGCATTTTCTGCTTCTCATGATCAAAGTAATCCCAAACACATATAGTAATGTTAAGCTCTGGACTCTGGAGTGGACAGTTCTGTTCTGAGAACACCAGCAGCTTGTTTGTTTCACTTGTAAGTATTCTCTCCTATTCTCAGTGAGGGCTGCTTGACAGCTACATATTCTTTCAGACCCATAGTGTTGAGCTGTCTCCTCACAGTGGAAGGATGGACAGAAACACCTGTATATTTTCTCAGATCTGAAGCAAGAGTGGAGTGTAATCATCTCTTATCTCTTAGATGAAAGCTGTAAGTGCTGTTTATCTGATGGTGACAGTTTTGGTGGTCTATCAGGGTTTGCACGGTTGTTAGGAGTCTTTCTTTTAGTTATTTCATTTTTCCATTTTTGGAAACTCACTTTTCCTTTGACTTTCTGCTTCTTTATGCAAAGGGTTTATCTTATATCTAATTTCCTCAGAAATATCTCTTGAAATATTAATGAGCTTGTACTTTATGGTCATTTGCACTGGGAATTAAATACATGAAATACACTATAAAATGATGAGAAATATTTTGTGGCAATGCACAACTGGCATTTTCCAGCCGTGAAATATGTAGGCCAGTTCTGTATATAGTGTGTTTACATATGGTGTATCTTGTATATTATAGGTTACAAGTCCTGGTATGGCACCATGACTATGAAAATGAAACTGAAATTAATAAAAATTCAAAATATTTTTAAAATCTTTCTGAAAATGAACGAAAATTAAACTGAATTTTGCAGAGAAAGGAAAACAACATAGAAACAAAAGCTAAATTAAACGGGAGTTCCACCGATTTTTAAAAAGTCTCTGCATAGTTCAACTGTCGAGATGTTAAAGTCATTCAGAGTGGTTTGGTTTGAAATGCTTCACTGTAGAGAAACTTACTGACTTGGATTTCTTTACAGTGGTGATGGGAACCAGGGGTCACAATGTTAACAGTGCAAAAAAAAAAAATGATGTATTTACCATCCAAAACCACCAGTGACCCAACACGAGTCATCAGAGTATATGAATGTAACAGAGATGATGGAAAAATAGAGTTTAATCTGGAAAAAAAAGTTTTATTTGGGACTATTGTGCCTCACAATGCCCTGGATGTATGTATCTCTCTGCCATGAGTGTATTAAAAAGATGTTTTAAGCCAAAAGACTGTCGCTAAACTATCGTGAAGCAATGTCTCAGACATCAGCAGTGCCTACATGACCATTTCTTACAACAACTTTCTGCGAGGGAGCTTTTACAGGCAGTGACTTCTATAGACGTCTGGTTCCTATCAGGACTACTGTGAAAATTTCTGACTCATTAAGTTTCTCTACAACAGAGCATTTTGCACCAAACCACGCTGAATGACTTTGTTTACATCTCAATGACTGAACTGTGCGGAAGAAAAATCGGTGGAACTGCCCTTTGAACGCAAAACCCAACGGTTACCATTCATTCAAGCTTGTGTCTCAAGTTTTATCGCAATACCTGTGTGGACATCTCCAGTCCGCGGAGCATGTAGCCCAGCACGCAGCCGGTGCCCACTCCCAGCACCGAGAGCGTCAGCAGCCCGTTGCGCTTCACGTACTGCTTCAGGTACGCCCTAACGCTCACGCCGCACGCGCTCCGCAGCGCCTCCTTCACGCTGTCCGCCGTGCCGGGCCTTCCCGGGTCGCGCGCCTCCTCCGCGTCCGCCGGTATCAGCAGTTCCTCCATGGCGCCTCGGAGAGCCGCTGAGGCAGGGGCTCGAGGCTGTAGGAGCAGCGCGTTCCACCCACGACGGGATTAGGCGAGCGCGCGCGCGGCTCCTTCCCAGCCCTGAAGACGCGCTGAGGGACCGGAGGAGCGCGCTTAGGCCGGTAAGAGGATTACGGCGCGGTAATAAAATCTAACACTTCTGTGTTGTGGATGGCGCCGCGCCATGGAGATCTGGACACGAGCAGCGGTCACACAGCCGCTGTGGGTTTGGCACGGCGGCGTTCACGCGCGGAGAGGAGGCCACTGTTGGACTGGATAAAGCCGAAAAAGTGCTGCACTCATATGCCACGGAAAACCACTGTTAGTTCTTCAATCAAAAACTTCATTAGTTCATTAAAGGATCCAAATCATGGAAAAGCAACATTTCCCCGCATTTCATAAAGGTGCAAAATGTAATATATGTACTGCATTAAATCATAAAATGACTATAATATGTCATCAGAGATTAAGGAAACATGCTAATTTGAAATATTAGCTTCACTGACAACAACACAACAGCAACAGCATCTCCCAGCACCGCAACAAAAACAGCCTGTCTAAATTAAAAAATTAATTGCATCTAGTTTTGGTACATAAATCTGCACAGATGTTATAAGTGGACCTCCGCAGGGAAAAAATAACATAATATAAAATGTACGATCTCAGTTGCCAACCTTTCTTTATTCCTTGTTGCTGTGCCTTTAAGACATTAAGATATGTAAAGCTCTTAGTTCTGATTGGCTGTCTCATAAAGTGCCTCCTTCATAAAGCAATCCAGGCTTTTTGCTGTGTAGTTTCCATATATGGACAGTATGGGCTGGACAGAGCACAGTGCATTTTGAAACTTTGCCAGCGTTCACATACTACACCAGGGTTTTATTTCATAAAAGTGACGAAAATTAGGTTTTCCACAATATGGACCCTTTTAAGACCCACTTTTGTAAATGTGAGTGTGATGAACCTCCACTTAATGTAAACATTTTGTACCAATTTAAAGTTTTTCCTACAGTCAACATTGAAAAAATACAATATACTAATTCATTTAGATTTTGTATTCATCCCACAAGCTTTGGTGATCCAACTATTCAGAGCAAGTGTGGCCACTCTGCAGCTCAAATTACTACACAAATACTGTGCACTGCAACTCCCTTGTAATTTGTTGTAACTCGGAGAGGATTAACTCTGGGTGCCAACACTCTAATGAGATTGCCATTTCATCACTGGACTCCCTGCTCTTACCTTTTTACTAGAGAGGTGCGCGTGCGCGCCAGCTGGTGGTGCTCTTCGGTTCCATTCAGAGTCTGCTGAAAGTCTGCATATCACTGATATTTTTAGATGTATATTTTGTTGTGGCAGGACAAAGAGCTGGCTCTGTGCCCACTATTCTCATTCTCTCTGTATTTTTGCTAAGTGAATAGACTGTTTGACAGCAATAGTTTAAATTGGCTAATTTAGGCTCAATCAAACTGCATGCATTCCTCTAATCCAATAACATCCTAATCCAATGTTGGCAACTGGACTTGAGAATTGTGTGTAATAGATTCTGAATAAGAAGGTATGAAACACAGGAACTTCATATTCCAGTCCTTGAGCACACTGGTCACTGGCCAAGCTTCACTGGACAAGATTCTAAATGAGAACAGATGCAGTGCAGTCAGTCAGTAACTGGACAGTGTCATCACTTTTGTTGTTTTGCCACATCATCCACTTCATTAAGTAAATCTCCTCGTGTGTCCATTTTATCAGCTCCACTTACCATATAGGAGCACTTTGTAGTTCTACAGTTACAGACTGTAGTCCATCTGTTGCTGTGCATACTTTGTTAGCCCCCCCTTCCTCAGGGGTCAGGACCACCACAGAGCTGACGTGGTGGTGTGTTGGTGTGTGCTGCACTGACATTCTTACCTTGTTAGTCCACATGTAAGATGTCAAGTTAGAGATGATAGCTTGTCCATTCTGCACAGTTTTTGTTGGTCATCCTCTAGTCCTCCATCACTGGTCACAGGATGCTGTTGGCTGGATATTTTTGGTTGGTGGACTATTCTCAGTCCAGCTGAGACACTGAGGTGTTTAAAAACTCCAGCAGCACTGCTGTGTCTGATCTACTCATACCAGTGCAACACACACTAACACACCACCACCACATCAGTGTTACTGCAGTGCTGAGAATGATCAACTACCCAAATAGTACCTGGTCTGTGGTGGTCCTGATCATTGATAAACAGGGTAAAAGGAGCCTAAAGTATGCAGAGAAACAGATGAACTACAGTCTGTAATTGTAGAACTACAAAGGGCACTTATGTGGTAAGTGGTACTGATAAAATATAAAAAGAGTGTAGATACACAGGTTTTAATGTTGTGGCTGATCGAAGTTTGGCCTAGGCTGGGTTTTTCTTAGAAGCATCTTAGTACAGAGGTAGAGCAAGCATTATACCGAACACTCTCTCTACCAACTAGGATTATCTTAACACTAAGATGCATCTGGGAAAATGAGCCCTGGGCTGCAAATGTGTTTATTTTCTCAGAAAAAACTATTAACTGAATATTAGAAGAAATACAAATAACATTATTACTGAAAGTAGTGTATTTATGTGTGCCAATGTGTTTGTTTAACCATTTCCAAACCTCTCTTTGAAGCAGACCAGTATTATTTGTAGTTATCTCTTCCAATAAATGGTTTGGCTAATAAATGCTTCATCAATCAAATATGATGGTGATTGAATTTAACAAATCCCTGCCATGTTTGGAAGCGTCCAGGAGAAATCCAGAACCAAACTTTGTGTTTCGAATTATGATATGAACTACTCTTTTGCTACTTTCTACTGTTTTTATGTTTATCTGTATTAATTTTAATGTGAAATGGTGGTTTTACAAGCACTTTTTGCCAAGATAAATGGCTTTAAACCATGCACTTAGGTGCCTAAGACTTTAGCACAGGGGAGGAAGAGGGACATAAATAGGTGTCAGTGCCATCTGTGTGGTGTTGATAGAAGTTAACTGGCGAAATATGTTATTGATAAACTGAATTTTTCTGTTGGGTGTACAGTTCTGTCAGTGTATATATGTGAGCAGCCCAATAAAGATTTTGGCCATGGGCCCCAGTGTGATTGCCATGCCCAGGTCACAATGATTTCTGGGCACGTTCTGCTGCAGATGCCAACACTTGTGTTCACTTGGTCCTGCACTTAAGCCAATAAACGAAAGGAATGGCCTTTAAGATGGCATCAGGGATTCCCCTGCGGGGGAAAATGGCAGGGCCAAGTGGACGAGAGCATGTGTGGAATGACGTTAAAGTGCCAAATAGACTACCACCTAGAGGTGCTCTCCATGGCTCCAGTGGACGCTCATATGGAGTATGTCTTACATTAGTTCTTCTGGGTCAAAACATCAAAACGCTGCTTTCTGTAAAGCATATCTGTTTACTGAACAGTCCACAGTTCACCCTTTAATAACAACAAAAGGGACATTTAAGGAAGTGTTCCTGAAAAAAAGTCAATTTATACTCATTATTAATTAATAAAAATAGTTTAATTTCAAGCTAATTTATGTTGATTTGACACAGTTGTAAAGCACTACAGATCACCATCACTTTATCACAGGAATCAAAGGAAAACTAGGAAATTTAACCTATTTTTAAATAGAGGTAAAAAAAACATGTGCGTGCAGCATTTAAAAACAAACAAAAAAAAAGTAGCCATTTCCCAAAAGCTTAAAAAAGTATAAGTAGAATCTGCAATAAGTCACTGTCTGTTTAACCACAGAGGGTCTTGTATATATTTAATTTGAAGATACTTTCAATGTGATTCATTAAAAGAAATCAAACTAGAATGGAATTCATCAATCATTTTGAGATGCAATTCAGTATTAATCATAGAAAATATATTAAAAAGATCAAATCATTAGGTCATTTACAGTACACATCACACCAGTGTCATTTACATCAGTTACATTTACATACATTCAGAGTACATCTGCGTTGTTATAGCTATGTGCTTTAGCCACAGCATGAGTATTAGGTTTCAGTGGTCCTTATTTGCTGCTACATATTAAATGAGAATATGCTGGTAAAATGGATTAGAAAACCAGAGTATTTGGCCTGATTTGTTACCACGAAGCTGACAGACATTTACTGCGGCAGAATAATCTGTCATAACTGTAATAATGATTTGGTCAAGTAGTTTTGATATGAAATATTGCTCATAGGGCATATTTCTGTTTTCATGGTTATATAAATGTTGTCAGAAGTTGGAATCAACTTCCACCGAATTGGAAAAGAGGCCTTGACAGACTGTATGTAGTATTCAAACACTGTAGTAGTTCGATTTTGTCAAAGTGAAGTAGAAAATTAAATAACTTGAATTCTTATCCTATCTATAGTCCATGTACCATAGTGTTCTAGAATAACCAGGACATTAATTTACAAATGCAAAACCAAAACTGCAAGGATGTACAAAAGCATTTAACCACAAACTGCATATTAGGACCTTAGTCTATTTAAACTACCAGCAACCTCTAAGTTACAGCACCACATGTTCCTAAATCTGCTTCTGAAATACCACTGCATTAACTGTAAGTGTGGTGTTCACCTTCAGCTGGCAAGCACGCCATTATGTGAAGTGTAACATTTTTCACACTTTCTTTAATCTCAGTTCAAGAGAGTAACTCACAACAGCAGTCTACAAACCGAGTTCCACAGAATTAGGCCTGATTTTAAAATCAAGAACATGTTTTTAGTATATTGTAAAAATATACACGTGGTTATGTCTCATAGCTTGACACATGGCCCAACACTGCTGCCGATTTAGCAATATTTTCAATAAATCATAATCTGGAATAACACCATCATTGAATATATATGTATTTGATTTAAATATATGTAGGCCTTCAAACAGTAGCATATTCAACACCCAGGGTCAAACGAGATACAAAGTAAATGCAGTTTATGTAAACGTTTAAAGGCTTTATCAAGAATGAAACGGTGAAATGAAAACTGGAATAGTTTCTTAGTTATTTATCACAACACTCAGCATCACATGAATCAGTAACAACAAACACATACTCTATAATCTGCAGTAGTAGCACCCCCACCAGTGTTTACAATAATAAATAATTTCCCTTCACTATACCTTAAAGACCTGGTTTAAAATACTACTGTTTGTGTATGTATCCAGTGTAGGACTTCATAGACATAAGTTAAAACCAAAAGCAGTAAACAAACAGTCATTTAGGAGCTGAATTACTGAAATTGTCCTTTGGTTATGCTGGTGAGCAGGTTTTACAACTGGCACATAAAAGCAAAACTTCCTCTTCCTCCTGTGCACTGTTAAGCTCTATTACCACTTGATAAAGACAAGACCAGCCAGCACGCCATATCCCAAGACAAGAAACAGCACCTTCAGTAGCCTATCGTGTTTATCCTCCAGCTCCCGTGAGAGAATTTCAAAGAAAGTGATGAAAAGGAATGTACCTGCTGCCATGCCTTGTAGCACGACAGAAATAATACTTCCTGCCAGGTTCTGGGCACTCTCAATACCCATTCCAAGGCCAATCCCAATAGGGATCATGAGGCTGACTGTAATAGCGAGCTTACTGGCATCTCGCAGCACCAGTCCTGCTTTAGCAACACTGACTCCTAAAGCCACAGCTGCCAGGGTTTCATGGATTGCTACGCCAATGAATAGGCTTCCCAGTTTAGCCCCATCTTCCTGAAGACCTAGAGCAAGACCTTCAAAGACTGAGTGAGCGGAGAGGGCCAGGACCAGGCTGGCAAGCCGAAGTGGCCCTGCGCGTGTTAACTCTGTGGGGTTGAAGTGTCCATGGTGATGCGAGTGGTGCTGGTGTCCCGCTGAGCTCCGAGGGGGAGCGATGAACGGTGTGTCATATTCAGAGTCGCTGCCAGCCTCTGAGCCTCCTGCGTTGAAAGTCTCCAGATCAATGAAGGAAGGCTTCTCCTTCCTAAAGGTAAGCACAGCCTGCTCTACAAACACTGTGAGGAAAAAGCCCACCATCATCATGGTCTCTGCCAGCGGATAGTCTGTTGTAGTCGTTAGCATTTTCAGGACTCCGTCCACCTGAGGGCAGAACGTATTGACACTAAGATGATAAAATCAATTACACACAAAAGAAAAAAAGGACTTGGCTCCTAACAAAGTGAAAGTATGATAGTCATGCAAGGTCCTGAAATTCCTTCCAAACTTCGAAAGATTTTTCAGAATATCTGCATAATCAAATCGTTGCGACAAAGTCAACCAGACTGGTGCTCAATAATGGGCTGTTCAAAAGATACTTAACCGAATTGTTAAGGCACCTGAAGTGTTTAACGCCTCTAAAAGCTCCATCGCAGAAAGCATTTACATGACATGCCAGAGACATGGTTTTACGATAGTTTTGTGAGAAGCTTTTTGCCTAAAACATTCATTTTTTTAATGCATTCATGGTGGAGAGGTACAAGCAGGCTGGTATAAAGCAAAACAGTACAAGAAGTAAATGTATCATTATTTTATCTCTATCACCATACATCTCAAAAATATATATCACAGTTGTTTTGAATAGCAAATACACATTATAAATATTTGTTTTGTAACCCTTTGTTCCTATCATTACCACTGTATAGAAATGAGCTGGTAAGCTTTCCTACAATGCACCACTTTACATTAGACCACTTTGAATAACTGTTCACATCTCAACTATTAAATTATCAGTGGAATTCACCTTTAATGAATAATTCCCATTTTCTCCTTACTGTTAGACACAAACATGTAATGCTGTAGTTTCCCAGAGAACAGACATCATGTTCCAAAACTTACCTTGTCTCTAATAGCTGGCAGAAGTGCGTTGAAGCAGGTAGCCAGGAACACACCACCTCCAAAAGAATTACTCAACGAAACCGCCTTTCTGTACCTCGCAGCTTTGTCGAAGTCCGACTGCATCACACGCACAGGGATGAGAATTCCCCCCAGCATGAGGGCAAACACCCCGATCAGGCACAGAATTTTGGCCACAACTATCTCCATGTTGGTGGAGAGAGGCAGTGATTCCTATTTACACCGCCGGTTTTGTCAGAAGAGCATGACTGGAAACAGAACAGTCCTCCCCGCTCGGCTGAACCACAACACAGCCGGAGAGCCCACCAGACACACCGCGCTCAAGTCCTGGACAGCATCCTTCACTGCTCACCAAGAAACGAAAACAAGGGTCATATTAAGCAACCAGTCCTCTTTAAAGTGAGTTAACTTTACATGACAGTCGTTGAGGCATCGTGGACAAGTTTTCCAGCTGACTGACACCTTTCGTTTGTCTATTTACATCTGAAACTTAACTCGAGCTATGTAGCGGTAGCTAGCCAACACTGTGCTAGCTAACCTATGCTAATAGCACTGGACAAGAACTTCACTAGGACACAATTTGGCCAGAGTAGTGAGCACGCTAAGGACGGTAAGGTCAGGAATAACAAACGTCTCTGAAGCTGAACCTTGAATAGCTGGCTGGCTAGCTAGCTTAGCAACATCTAAGTTACACTTGTGTTAACATTGCTAGTCAGTCAGTAAGTAGTAAGCTCATATTAGCAAACATCTAGCGCTAGCTAGCTAGCAGTCACATAATAAACACCGGATATTACTCTAAGTTTCTTTATATGTTTATTAATTAAAGCTTTTCATACATGAAGTAAAATCTCAGAGTGTAAAGTCTCAAGTTACGAAAAGCTCTTTCATCGTTACCTGTTCTTTCTTTCTACTCTCCGCCCGTGAGATGCGACTCATGAATGAATCGTTATTTTGAATCTGTTCTATTCAGTAAGTCGGTTGAACCGGTTCAAAAGTTTGAACAGAACTGAATCGAATAGGTATTTACGTCAGTTATATGCTGTTGAACTATAACACTCCTTACAATTTAACCTCAAAGAAACATAAAACCACAGTGTAACACTTCCTTTTGTTTTGCGTTGAGCTTTTAACATTAACATGTTTAGTGAGTAGACAGAAGAGACATCAGTCATTAACAGTCACTGTAAATGGACGAAATGAAAAGGTTGACTCGTTTCTGTGGCCCTTCATAAACCTGGAACGAAAATGAATCGTTGAATCGGACGTTTGATTCAAAGGAATCGACTCGGTAGATTCAATCGAACAATTTTCTGCAGCCCGGGCGCCTGTCCAGTTGCTACTAACCACGATGTCCTTATGGGATGGCGATCTGTGACGTGTCAGCCAGACTTTGACAGTGATTGGAGGAATATTACACCGCGGGTTCCTGGGCCCCGTCCCATTTCGTTGTTAAAGTAATGTTTTAAAACAAACATTTGATGCAAAACTCCCAACTTTTAATCAAAAACCAATGACAACTGTAGTGAACTCATAGTCATGCTTACATTATATAAACCTGCTGTATAACGATCACAGCATGACTGATGTTACAAAGTCTGAAGCATTACAACAAGGCCATGGTTACCAGTGGATGACAAAGATGAGGTCCTACTTGAAACTTGACATTTAATATCCATTATGTTGACATTGTACATATCACTTACAAAGTCATCTGATCAGATAAAGCCAGCTGTTATTGGAGAAGTGACTCACTTTGGGTCGATACTGCAAGTCTGCAGCCAGTCCATGTAGCAGTGGATTCTTTTACGTCAATCCATTAGCATGGATTAGTTACACTGAAATCATACATTAAACCAGTGTGATATTTCTGTACACTTCCATTGAGTCTAAGTGGCTGGCTGTGACCTAAAAATTTTAGGCTACATTGGTTTCTTTAAAGACAGGCAAGGCAGGGAGGGAAGCCAGACACACATGCACTCATTGTGATGTAAAAATGGTCTTGTCCCTGGAGTTGTAAGAATAATAGATATTAAAAAATTAAAAGAAAAAGACAGCCAGCCAGTCTTCTCTGTGTGTCCCATGATGGTTTTGGTTAGCTGTTGGGAAAGAAAGAAGTATGAATGTAAATATACCCATAAATGTAACCTGACATCCTGCACTTTAACCTTATCATCACTGTTTAATTTCAGATAAAGCATGTTTGAGCGCAAAGCCAAAACAACAAAAACTGTCACAGCTTTATTTACAGACTGCACTGTACAAACCTTTATATAATCTTACACACAGATCTCTATTTCTCAAATATTGCAGATATATATTTTAAGACTGTTAATGTATTATCACAATAAGTTAAAACTCAACTTTAATGCTGATGACACATTTTCCTAGTTTGACCCTCCAAGCCTACCATAGTAGGGCAGGCTGAAGCCCAGCCATGCATTGCTATAATGGAATTCCAGCTTTTACATGGCGTTTAAAGCAACACCTTCAGCAGACTACGCTGGACAGTGGTCCTAAGAAATAGGCCTATGGGTAAATCGACAAGCGGCAAAGTAAAGCAAAGTGGAAAGCTACAGTTCCCTTCGAGAGCCTCCACTCTTAACAAAAATCAATGAGCTGTTTGAATGAGAGCGAGAGGCTACAATCAAGTTTAAACATTCTGATTAAGCTCCACATATACAGTTATAACAAAATGCACTGCTTTTTACTTGAAAATCCTTCTTTAGGGTCAGAGAGCAGCACACAGACAAATGCAATTAATTGTGATTAACTACAGAAAATAATGTGATTATTTCCAATTATTTTAATCATCTGACAACCCTTATACACACACACACACACACACACGATAAACCGCTGATGACAATAAGACTACTGTTATGATAAACCAACAAACACAAACTAGACTTACCACCTCAAGTGTCATTGTTCTTCATTACTAGCACTAGGTGGCCGGCTGCGGATCTGACTCCTCAACTGCTCAATGAGCTCAGGATTCTGCTGCTGCATTTGCTGTGCAAACTGCTGGCCACTGTAAAGGGAGAAAAAAAAAAAACGCTGCAAAAGACGCCATTCAACAATAATTGCAGCTTCGCATGTATTTGCTTCTAAAAGTAGGAGTGTGTGAACATACGCTTGAATAAGGCCAGAGAGGTCATTTGGTGCTGCTCCTGCTGCTGGGGAACCAGTGCTACCCATAGGACCATAGGTTCCAGACATCATTCCTGACACCCTGAAAAGTTATAATTACAGGCAAATGTAAGTGTCTATGTACTGGTCACCTATCTGTAGCTCCCTGTCTTTCTGAAAGTGAGAATTTTAAAATAAGCAGTGTTAAATAAAATCAAACTAACTTTTACATGCTTATAATATTCTGCAAGCAGTTTATTTAGCATTCTCTACAGAATTACAATGTTGTAATATATCCCTTATTACTCACAGCTGTTGTACCTGTGGGTTACTCATCAAATTAGAAGCCTGGAACACAAAGAAAATATCAGTAAATTTAATTTGGTTTTCCACAGTTCAGTGAATTATATCAGGCACAGATGAATTTACTCACCATGTTCATGAAGCCAGGATTACTAAGCAAACCAGCAAGGTCAACCCCACCCATACCCCCTGTCTGAGAGAGATAAATCAAAGATAGTTAACATAACTGCCTTTTTCAGTTTGCAACAATTACAACTAGAACTTAGGAGGACTCACTGGGCTCGGTGTTTCTTTCATTCTCTGTTCAGCTATTTGCAAATTTGATTTGTATGTGTCATTGTCAGGATCCAGTTCCAGGGCTTTCTTGTAGTAGCTCACAGCCTCTGCATGTTTGTTCAAACTGGCAAGAGCCAGCCTGGTTATGAGAAGAAAACATACGTTAGTTATATTAGAACAGATGTGCTTTTATTATTAACAAAACTTCAACCCAAATTTGAAATGACCTATTAGCAGAAATTGAACACAGTATAGAAAATGTTTAAAACCATGTTTTTAGTAGTGCATAATCACCTGTAATTATGAATCGTTGTGTTTTCATTATTTAGAAATGAACCCTTCATATCTACATAGGGTGCAGGTCTTATTCCAACAGAGGCCGTCATGTTGCACTGCCATGTTTCTACAGTAACCCAGAACGGACAAACTAAACACTGGCTCCAGAGAGTGCCTTTCACATTTTTTTGTTGAAGCTGTAGCTTGAATTTGGTGGTTGGAAGACGATCAGAATCAGTGTTTGCTGCCGATGCTAGCTAACCATTTTGTATTGTGAGAAGTTTGAGAACCCAAATTTTGACGAATACTTATTATTTAGCACAAGAAAAAGCAAGCAAGGGTGAATCCTCGTCGACAAAGAAACAAAAACATGATGGCCACCATCGGTTCTACTACACGCTTGGAAAGCGAAGGGTATTCAGTTTTGTTGCAGTCTGCAAACTCACTGCTTTACACCATTAAATCCTACACACTGCACCTTTGAAGACAACAGCCATTAAAAGTAGGCCTGCACCAATAAAAGAACCGCCATACTATAGTGTGGAATGGATCAGGTAGACTTTCACCCAACATGTTAAATTGTACGTCATGTGACAACAGCAAGATAGTGAGTTATTGTTTGTGCAAAATAAATGGATAGATTTGTAATGTTTAATCTACTCTAATTACTGGTCTTACCCCATTCTTCCATAGGCTTTGCTGTAGTTTGGATCAATTCCAATGGCAAGTTCACAATCCTGAACCGCTCCAGCATAGTTACCAAGTTTGCTGTAAGCTGCAGCTCTTCAGATAACAAAAGACACAAGGAGCATTAAGCATCAGATAATCAACTGATTTTACTGCTTAAACCTTTCCATGTGTGAAGAAGCATGAAGCATTACCTGTTGCAGTAATAAACTGCATTCTGTGGATTAATCTGAATGGCTTTTGAGTAGAATTCCACTGCTGCACTGAAGTTTTCTACTTTCATTTGGTCATTGCCTGTTAAACACAATTAATAAGTTACTTAACCAGAATTCCTGCTCTGCAGTAAGATTCTCCACTTTCATTTGGTTACAATATGGGCAGTTTAGAACAGGAACCAATTCACTCATGCTGTAGTGAATTGTCATTTTCACTGTTTTCTATGTTTTAAAGGGTAATTCCGTCGTTTTTTCAAAATTTCTGCAAAATTGTTGAGATGTCATTTGAAACAAAGTCACTCAGTGAGGTTTGATGTGAAACATTTAACTGTAGAGAAATAAAAGTTAGACTCCAAGGGTGGCAATGTATATAATGCAAATACAACCATTTCATTTATCAGCAAAAACAACCAGTTAACCTACATGTGCCTGAATTTTTATATGTTATGTGGATAATAGTACAATAATGGCAAATCTGAAAACAAAAATCGTTTTCTTTCGGGACAATTTTGCCTTACATCATCCTGCATGTATCTCCCCACCAAAAACGGCTTTTGAAAACACATCATTTAACCGAAACCTGATGTCAAAATATCATAAAACAATTAAAAGAGCGCCTATTCGTAAAAGGCATGGCTGTAGGTTTTCATTTCAAACAAGCAGGAGCACACCTGATTCCACTTCTTCATTCAGTTGCTTACTCTACAAACAACTGATTATGTAAACTCCTGCCTTTTTGGGATGAAAATCTACACCAGCCCTTAACAAATAAGACTGGACACCCCTGTATTAAAACCTTCGGATGTCTGGTTCCCATCATCACCACTGTAAACAATCCTCTGTAAGCTTCTCTAGAATAGAGCATTTCACAACAAACCACTCTGAATGTCTTAGCTTACATCTTAATAGTTTAATTATGCATACATAAAAAAAAACAATGTGGAATTCTCATTTAATAAAATCAACTTGGTGGGATACCAATATAGAGAAAAAAAAATGTTACCTTCACTCTTAAGTTGTTCTGCCTCTGCAAGCTGATCCTCTGTGGGGAGACTACTGGTTGAGTTGATTTTAACTTGAGGCGTATCTGCTACCTGTGAAATACAAATTCTTGTGTTAAACACATCAAGTTATGAAATAATAAACATCTCTGAGAAGATATATTAAAGAGACCGTTCAGATATTACCTTGACAGTGGCTTTTGCAAATAGTTCTGGCAAGGTTTCAGACACTGCTAAACTCTGGTCCTCAACAGAGACACCAAACGCTGTCTCCAGACACTGTATGGCAACTAGAAAGCAGTTTAAGAGCAATCACATGTCAATGTTTCATATCTAAACAGAAAATAAGCCTATCATTTAGTCATTTAGGACTACATCAGTATGTACCTTCTAAACTTTCTTGAGCATCTGATGACAGACCCCCAGACCTCAGCTGGTCGTGGAGAAACTGGATAATGGAGTAAGCAAGACGCTTTGTCTCTGTCATTTTGGCTGGAGAAGTTGTTCTCTCCAAATATGGATGAAATCTGAAAAACAAATATTAGAATGTCATTTCTGTACAGGAAAAACAAGACAAAAAAATGTTCCTAAAGGTTAAAAAAAGTAAATCCTAGGTCTTAGGGCTGGAAATGCATCGAAAGTCAAGTCTTAAAGTTGTAACCGGTTATAAGTATCATGCCCTTAAGGGGTTTAAACAGGTATTTCAGAGCAAAGAAAAACTAATCTCTGGAGTACAGAGCAAGACTTGGGCTTGACTGCCAGGGATTGTGATCTACATTACCATGAGCTCATACTGAGGTCATAGCTACCAACATCCGTCGATTTGGCCACAAATTAAGTAGCTGAAACAGAATATATTCTGTTCTTACTTGAAACAACAGCGCAAACAGCAACAAACACCAATGAAGCTAAATACTTTAGTCTGTCAAAGGTAGTGCAAGTTACTGTCTACTGTCTGTGTCTGATGAGACAAATGAATATAAGGCTTCTGCTGCCTCTTGTGAAATGACTTCATGTAGACATATGACACGGAATATTCTAGCAACAGCTGGCAAGTCTGGTGAACCTTAGCTTGCTACACTGCTAACAGCGGCTACGAACGAATAGTCTATTCTGGTCTACGAATGAAAATATTCCCCTTCAGTTTGGCGGTAGCTAATATCAGTAGCTAATGCACGCTGTCTAAACGCCGCTAACGCGGTGTAGCTTAGCTGACCCGCAAATAGCCCATGCCTGGGTCGCTAATATTGTTAGCTAGCTTAGCTTTAGCGCGTTTCGTTAAGCATGTAGCTAGCGTTAGCTAGCTATCAAAAACAACAAAGACTATAAAAGTTAAAGAATACTAACACGTCTCCTGAAGATGTAGTTAAGTCTTACACTGTGTCACTTCGCATATGATAGAAAATAAAGCCTTCCCAGCGTGTATTAGAGCTTCTTTACACTTACTGATTGTCCCACTGCAGGGATTTTCCTTGCTGCGCTCTCCCCAGTGAGACGTACACTACGTAATGTGCGTAGATCTACGTACGTAAAACGTATTTGCGTAGTGGTTAAAAAATAATTAATTAATAAACGTTATCGATTGATAGGAATCTATCCATTAGCTACATAATTAGTTTCTTTATTAATTAATTCGTTCATTCTTTTAGAGGGTAATCATTCGAAAAAAATAAACTTTAATGCATGCATTTATTAATTAATTCATAGGAAGAAATACTTATAAAAGCTATATTAGTCACGAAATTCAAATGCAATAAAAAGAAACACAGAAAAAAAAGAAAGACAGAAAAAGAAAGAAAAAGAATAAAACAAAAAGAAAGAAAAAATAGAAAGGAAAAACAAAGATTACAAAAGAAAATAAGGAGAAGAAGTAAAGAAAAGAAAAAACAAAGGATTAAACAAAAAGAAAGAAAAATAAAACAAAATAGAAAGTGAAAACTTACTACGGAGCCCTGGTGACATCCAATATAAATAAAAATAATGTGTGGCCACTGGGAATGAGATAATTAAGTTGTGGCCACGACCTAGTAAGGCATGGGAATGAGATAATGCCTTACTAAGTCTAAGGCCACGACTTAATTATCTTGTTCCCACGTCTTACTAAGTCGTGGCCACGCATTATTTTTATTTATACAGGATGTCACCAGCAGCGTTCCGTAAAAAACAAAGAACTAACAGAAAAAAAGAAAGGAGAGAAAAGCAAAGAATAAAACAAAAAGAGGAAATAGAAAAGAAAGAAAGAAAAAAGGATGGATGGAAGGAGAAGAAAAAAACAGAATAAGACAAAATTAAAAAGATGCATAAGAAAAAGAAAGGAAAAACGAAAAGAAAAGAAAAGAAAAAAGAAAAAGTGTAGAAAGAACGAAACAAACAAACAAAGGAAAAACAAAGAACAAAGAAAAAGAACAAAGGAACAAAGAAAAAAGGAAGGAAGAAAAAAGACAGAAAAAAGAAAAGAAAAGAAACAAAGAATAAAACAATAAGAAAGAAAAACAAGAAAGAAAGAAAAAAGGAAGAAATACTGGACAAACACAGATGAAAGGCTAACAGCCTCACATTAGGTACAGAAACACCAGTAAATTTCAGTAAATAATGAGACGCATCATCACCGTCAGATCAAAACCTTGTTTCTCCAAAAAAAGGCAGCTTACAGGACAGAGCAAAACCACACTCTACTTTTAATATACGTCAATGTAACAAGACGTTTTTTTCCAGTAAGGTTCTTATGATGCTAAAATGTGTCAACTATCAAGCATTATTTCAACATAACAGAACTCTTTAGACGTCTGATTGTTTTGAGATAAACAAGGCATTCTGCTGCCAGAAACAGAGAGAGGAAGAACAGGTTTCCAAACTAATAAACTCTTCTACGTTGTTTCTGCTTAAATATCTCAGTAAAATGTCAGACATTTTCACTGATCTTCTCTTGTGACAGTTTTGTTATATGGGAGGCTCATAAAATGGCATGAAAAAATAAACTTACAAGAACAACTTGTAAACTTGTGCTCACACAGTTATTTCCACTGGAAATAAAAAATGGGGGAGCAAACATGCCTTTAATAAAGGTGGGGTGCACATCCTCTCCTGCTCTATTGCTCAGGCGCCTATGCATTACGGTACACTATGGCCAAGGTGCCACTACAGGGGGTCAGAGGGGGACCGGGCCCTCTAATTAACCTCTCAGACCCCCTTAATGTCTCACAATCAAAATGGGTGTTTGGACAGAGCTGGTTTAAAGGGAGCCTGGCCACTTTCTGTTTCTCCCATTATGTGAAAAACATAACCCGCCAGAAGGCACCTGCAAGAGTCCTAAATGAATAGGGGTGAAAAACAAAAGTTAAAATAGTTTCTCACCACTTGTCCAGGACCTTCCTTTGATTTTAGAAGGTAAAAGATTGAATTTCACTAAAAAAAAGAAAACTTACCTGTATAGTTCCTTTTTTGTACAGCAATCGGGCTCTGGGCAGCAGGATGCAATCATTACTGCTACTGACTAATAGGTGCAAGATGGAAAAGGGTAACCATATTTATATTTTATATTATGCATGGTGCTTCCACCTCTTGATAATACTTATGAGAATATTTTTATGGTCTGTATGAATAAAATTAGCATAGAATTTTGAAAGATGAAATAAATAAATATAGACCAATGACAAAAAAAAAAAAAATCTGCGACTGAGTGCTGATTGGTTGCCATTACTGCTACTGAGTGCTGATTGTTTAGCATTACTGCTACTGAGTGCTGACTGGTTGTCATTACTGTTACTGAGTGCTGACTGGTTAGCCGGCTGATCTGTTTATTGACTGAGAGAAGCAAATCGCGCTAACTGACGTCATGATCGTACATGCAGAGAACTTGTAGAATAAACAGAATAAACCGGCTCTGGTACGTGAGGCGCCTTTATAAAGTCCTATAACTGGAGCTCAGAAACATTACAGCAGTGCTAAAATATTTTATGTTGCTCTGTGTTCAGGAAATGAATGCATTCATATATATACAGAAGTTCAAGCATTTACAAGCCATGATTTTGCTTGAATGCTCCGTATTGACCCATTCATTTTAGTCTCGGGAGCGCCCTCTGGCGTTTGACAAACCCGGAAGACATCACACTTTGGCTCACTCACTCCCATGTTCAGATTCTCTGGTTCTGCCTCCGTTGGGGGGCGGGGCGTGTGGATTGACACTCATTTGGTCCAATCACTGAGCGGCACCGAGCAGCGGCACGTTTGGGCGGGATCCGTGCAGAGAGGAACTCGCGCACGCTGGTTGACGAGTCGCACGCATAGATTTAGAGAGAGCTTTGAATAATGGCACCTACAGGTAAGTCAGATCACTGAGGCACTCGCGTATTTGCATCCGTCATTAACATTTCATGGAGATATATCTAGCGTTACTTGATTTTGCTGCTGAAGTTTATTAGTGTGAATACAGGGGGTCCCCGGCCTCTGAAGCTGCCGGTCTGTATGCGCTGACTGTGTAGCTCAGTAAATATTACACCATAAAGACAGCGGAGCTTATCAGTTTATCATATGCAGCGCTGTAGGTGGTGTCGGATTTATACAACAGACTCTGTAGTTTGTGAAAATAACGTCCAGGCTTTGCCATAATGTTTGGTTTGCTCGTTAACAGTTAGCTTGCTAGCTCATCGTTAGCCAACTAGCTAGCTCACTGATTTGTTAGCTAGCGTTACGGTAAACTCGGCCACCTTAACCTACATTAATGCCGGAAGCCACATATCGGGATGGCTTGTTTTCCATACATCCCCCATACACTGTGGAAAACTGATTTTAAGACACGATATCTCATTTTCTCATTCAGGTGAAGTGGTTTTTGACAGTGGGGACAGAGTTTGTTCTGTAAACCGTTTGCGCTGGGACCTCACACCTGAGCAAATCCATCAGCTAACGGACGAGCTCATCGCCAGGACCAAGAGAGTCTATGACTCTGTTGGGGCCTTGGATCTAGATAATGTCAATTACGAGAACACTTTGAAGGCACTTGCTGATGTGGAGGTGGAATACACTGGTAAGCATTCATGTTTTTGTGACTGTGGTTGATGATTCTACTGCCTACTTCTATTATATACACACAGGGTGTATATTAAAAGCACAAAGACATTCAGTGCACATTTCCTCTTGAGAGAGATTCTTCTTACTAAACTATGTTTTTTATGCTGAAAATGACTTCCTAACCTGAGCCCTAGAGCCGGACTGTATGGCAGTGTTTATCGTTATTGTGATAAGTTACCTCACAATATGCTTTTCTGAGCATATTGTGGATATCATCAGTACTTAAAAATCACTTCCCAACTGCATGTTTGATTAAAAAGAGAGCAAATGAGTCCTGTTTAATTGCATGTAGTGCAGCACAGTGTGTGAAATGTTGAATAAAAGTAATTAGACTCCTTGTTTATAGTAGTAGTTTTACAACCTTGCGCTACTTTGTCTATTCTAACATATTAGATGTCAGAAAAATAAATATTGTGACACGTTGTGTATCGTAAAAAAACTTCCTGAAGTATCGTGTATCGATTTTATTTTGCCATCATCCGCCTCTACTGAGCCCTCAACATTCCTGAACACAATTCCCAAAATTTAAGCTCCACTTTTCTCCTAAAACAAATCTCTTCACTCTACCAGCTCAATTTATAACAAAGTAACATAACAGGTTTCTCCATCACTATTGTTAAACGGTACAAAAAAGTCTGAATCAGCAGGGAAGCTGTAAGCAATGGTATACACCATTCAGCACTTTTTGACATAAAGACTGGCTGACCGACCCCTGCACAACAATGGTGTTTGGCTTTGTTTAGTGGCAAAGCAGAGGCATGGCAAGGTACATATCTTGTTTAGATTTTCCATTGAATGAGACCAAAAAGCTAAAATATGTGAAGGCAACATGTTTTTGTCATCCACAATCAGTCCTTTTTGCATCAGTTCTATTCCATTGCTGTGTCTCACATGCAAAGGTTTTTTTTTATTGTTTTCACTATTACCTGACTCATTACAACGGCGTCATACCAAATCCAGAATCACATTTGTGATGACATTAAAATGCCCTTATCTGAGCCTTTCCTCAGCGTTTCTGTATGTCTGATGTCTATAACCCCTAACATCACACATCATCTCTGGCTCTTTTCCAGTCCAGCGGAACATGTTGGATTTCCCTCAGCATGTGTCCTCCTCGAAGGATGTGCGCACGGCCAGCACCGAGGCGGACAAGAAGCTGTCGGAGTTCGATGTGGAGATGAGCATGAGGGAGGATGTGTACCAGAGGATTGTTGCTCTTCAGGTTCGCTTTGAGAGGCTATGGTTAAATGGAAATTCTGCTGATTTTCAAAACAGCTGCATAATTCCGTTGTTGAGATGTAAACGGAGTAATTCAGAGTGGATTGATGTGACATGGTTCATTGTAAGGAAACTTTCTGACTTAGATTTCTTTACAGTGGTGGTGATAGGGACCAGGGGTCACATATACAATGCAAATATAGCTATTTTATTTGCTAAAAAAGGAAAAAAAAAACGACCAGTGAACCTACCTTTGTCTTCTGAATTTTTATGTGCATGCACCTCTCTACAATGAATGGATTTTAAAAATGTGGTTTACGCTAAAACCTCATCGCAAAAATATCACAAAACTATGTCTCAGGCAGTGTATTTATACCTGTGCCATGTCATATCCTTCTGTGAAGTAACTTTTAGAGGCATTAAACTCTTCAGATTTCTGGTTCCTATCAACACCACTGTGAACAGTTCTGACTTGGTAAGTTTCTCTGGAACAGAGTATTTCATCACTGAATGACTTAGTTTATATTATAACAATTGAATTATGTGGAAAGTTTTGAAAACTGACAGAATTCCCCTTTAAATGGTGATATTAGGCACAATTCAAAACAATCACAAAATACAATATGAAAATGCTCACCAATGTTCAATAGATAATTTAATATATTCTTTAAGTAGTTAGGTTGCCAAACACCTTCATTAACAGCACAATGGTTTTCAATATCTTGCTGCATTAATACATAGTTCAACTAACATGTGATCATAAGCATGTACAACTAGTATTTTACAGTAGCTTTGAAAATGGTTTGGCCAATCAGATTTTAGAACCAGAACTATCCATAATGGATAACTAGAACTTGTCTGATTTTTTTAAATGGAAAATCTCAGTGTCAGCTGTGGTTTGTTATTATTGTGAGTGGTCAAACAGGTGCATTACCTTTTGGAAAAGTGATGCATTAACTGGAGCATAGGAAGAGAGCTCACATGACTGTAACTCTTATACTTGATATCTGTAATACTGTGATATACTCAGAGATTTTGGGGTCAGAATGGGAAAGCTTTTTCTGTTTCAGTCCTCCTGAAATGTCCATCTTTTTTAGGAGAAACTCGAGGAAGAAAGTATCACCTCAGAGGCTAAGAGATACATGGAAAGATTGATCAAGTTGGGACAGAGAAATGGACTTCACCTTCCCAAGGAGACACAAGAGGTCAGACATTAAGAGCCCACTGTGCATTAATCGTTCTCAAAATACATTTCTCTGTACTTTATCGATTTCTTAAACAAAACCAGTGTAATGCTAGAAATATTGTGCGAAAATGGGTTTTATTTCCTGTAATAGGAGATCAAGAAGATCAAGAAGAAACTGAGCACGCTGTGTATTGATTTCAACAAGCATTTGAATGAGGACACCACCAGTCTCTCTTTCACACGGGAGGAGCTGGGTGAGTACACAGGGGTCTTTTAAGTTTGCATAGTGTAATTTCTAGTGGTAAGACATCCTGCTTTCTCTACATGAAACTAATATTGACACAGCTTTTCTCCAAAGCTTTAACCCGTGGTTAACTAGGCGGAATATTCTGCTTTTGATAGATATGCTGAATAATACTCTAACAATAACTTTGGAATTTCTCGTAGGTGGCCTTCCTGAAGATTTCCTCAACTCCTTGGACAAGGATGGGACTGAAAAGCTGAAGCTGACCCTCAAATACCCTCACTATTTCCCCACCATGAAGAAATGCTATGTCCCAGAGACACGCAAGAAATTAGAAGAAGCCTTCAATTCTCGTTGCAAAGAGGTTGGAGTCCATGCTTCACATTTTTTAGCATAATACAGTAGAGCCCTCTTGCACTGCACTGTTAGTCTAGCAACTTTGTTGTATCTTGGATGTAAATAACATCGTTGCTCACACTTTGTTTTCTGTTGAAGTTGTGAAATTAGCTGACTAGCTCTTGGTTTTGCATCGGCTTAATACGAAGTGGTCAATGTTATCTCACTCTGTCTTTGTCTACTCTCAGGAAAACTCAGCTATCCTCAAGGAGCTGGTGGAGCTGCGTTGTCAAAAGAGTGCTCTACTAGGGTTTAGCACCCATGCTGACTTTGTTCTTGAGATGAACATGGCGAAAGCATCCAAGAAGGTTGCCTCATTTCTTGGTAATCATTTTTTCTTCAGGTTATTTTTAAAGGTTATCAATACCAGACTAACAGTCAAGGCCTAATGGTCACTATAAATAATTTACAATCACAAAATTATTTTGCAACTCAACGTTCTTTAAAAAATTCTCCTTTTCCTCCTCTCTTAGAGGAGCTGGCCCTTAAGCTGAAGCCTCTGGGTGAGGAGGAACGGGCTGTGATCCTCAAGCTGAAGGAAAAGGAGTGCCAGAAGAGGAACTTGCCTTTCAACAGAGAGCTGTATGCCTGGGACACACGCTACTACATGACCCAGGTGGAGGAGACTCAGTATGCTGTGGACCAGAACCAGCTGAAAGAGTATTTCCCAATGGAGGTGGTGACCCGTGGGCTTCTGGACATCTACCAAGAACTGCTGAACCTCTCCTTCCAGCAGGTAGAGGGCGCCCATGTGTGGCACGATGATGTCACGCTCTACTGTGTCAAGGACCGTACCTCTGGCCAGGTGGTGGGGCAGTTCTACCTCGACCTTTACCCCAGGTATGAACAAGCTTTTAGATTGGCCTCTTCGGATAACTGCCTTATCTTCTTCTCAGTGTTGGTGTTGATACACTACACGTTACATACTCACTGAAATTAGATTTCAGGAATTTTACATGCATTAAAATGATTTGCTTTGGCCTTAAACCACCATGGATTTTATTAGTTGAAACAGATGTTTTACTGAGTGCATAATTTACAATCAAGGGACAAATCTGGCAATTAACAGTTAGGTTGTTATCTTTTCATTGCAGGTCTTCCTGCTTATGTATGTGATGTGTTCCTTTAATCCAGATTTAATTAATCTGTACTGGATTAAAACAAAGCCAGTAGTGGAAAACACTGTGGCTTGAAGAGATTAGTCTCTAAAAAAGGCTGACCCTTTGGTCAGGCATTGTTACATTGCTTAAATATATACTGCCGATTCAAGCAACTTCCAATGCACAAGAAGTGTTAATATAGTAGTTTCAGAGCAGTTTGATGGAATAAATAGCCAGTTATCCTTCCTCCCTGCAGAGAGGGGAAGTATGGGCATGCTGCCTGTTTTGGCTTGCAGCCTGGTTGTCTGCTGTCCGATGGGACCAGGCAGATGGCTGTGGCTGCCATGGTGGCCAACTTCAGTAAGCCCACAGCTGATGCTCCCTCCCTGCTGCAGCACGATGAGGTGGAGACCTACTTCCATGAGTTTGGCCATGTCATGCACCAACTCTGCGCACAGGTCTGTATTAAAGTAACTAAAGTAGCTGTTTTTTAATTGTTTATAATGTGATGTATTAATTCAGAAAAACATTTTTTTTGTGTCTTTCAGGCGGACTTTGCCATGTTCAGTGGAACTCATGTGGAAAGAGACTTTGTGGAGGCTCCGTCTCAGATGTTGGAGAATTGGGTGTGGGAAAAGGAGCCATTGCAACGCATGTCCAAGCATTACAAGACCGGCAATCCAATCCCAGAGGAGCTGCTGGATAAACTCATCAAGTCCCGGCTTGCTAACACTGGTAATAACCTTTTCCCTTTAGGGTACACTAGACTTAGATGTGTTTTGGGCTTGCTCATCATGGATGATGTTTTGAATTTAGTGGTCAGTTCAGAAATTTACTCATCCATATGTGCTGTGTGAACCTCACTGGGGTAGTGAAACACTACAATTAACGTATTTAACTTGACAACAGTAGGCAGCTTGGTGGGTAGGGTATTCTGCTGCTGGTTCTTGGGGCAAAATTCAGCAGAAAAACACAGCAGAAAGGAACTAAAAAGCCCTAATGCATCTTTGTATAAATGAAAATTTAACCTGAGCAATCAATACAAATTAAACATATATATGCTGTAAGACAAAAATCCTTATATAACAGGTAACGACATATTTTGAATAAACAAGTGATAAAGCATAGCTAACTGAGAAGGTAATAGTCTCGTCTCTTCTCTTATTTGCTTTCCTTTCCAATACACTTTGGCCAGTTCCATGACCATCTGTGGGATCTCAGAAGATGCTACTTTGATACTGTTCCTTCATATTGGCTGCTTTGATCTGTTTGCGTCATTTAAATGCACCCCCGTTCCATGCAGGCCAAACTGCCTGAATCATTTTGTAGATGCAGTCTGCTTTTCTCTGGGAGAGATCATCTGCCAGTGTAATTCTAAATGTGTCATTAACATTGTAATATGTGCTTTCGGTGTCATGCTCATGAAACATTTTGTAAAGGTTACATTTATTTAAAGAGAACCAAATCACACAGGATGTAAAGTCGAGAAAACAAACATTATCCTTTCACTGTGCAAACAGTGTTGCACAAATATTGGTGTCTAAAAGTTATCGAACAGAAGCACTTCTTTATGAATAACTTATGAGGCTTAAATGACAGGATTTTAATAGTACATCCAAAACTTGTATCCTAGTAGTTCAGATACACATCAGTGCTCCTCAGGGAACTGCCTCTACAGAAGAATGTGTGGTCCCTTAAAAAACATGGTTTGATGATGACATGTAGTTTTGTGGTGGTTGCTATGCTGTACAACAGGTTGAGGAGCTCAAATCAAGAAGCTTTTCAGATCTAAACATCACAGACTGCTATCATTATGTAAAGGTTTTATAAATAAAACAGTCTTGAACTGTTAGGAGATTGGTCTGAGTTGTTAAAAAGCACAAGAGTTTGTACAGCTAAATTCACAGACAGTGAATCTGTATGTGTCTGTCTTTGTGTGGGTGGCAGAGTAATTTAATTTATGAAATTAATTGATCTATTCTCACCTTTGAAAATCACCAGAAGCCATTGAGAGAACAGGCAGATGTTTAAATGCCAGCAAACAATTAATTTGTAATTGGTGATTAAGCACTCAACTGGTTCTGTATGGCAGCGTTTTTCAGTATTCTTCCAAGCTTCTCTGATATATTGTGGACAAACTTGAGAAGTTTTCGTGAATCTCATCTGGATAACCTAAAGATGCTCTCTGTGCTTAAAATGAGCATGAATCAAAAATATTATTTTCTTTTCGTGCCAGAAATAATGATCTAACAAAAACCAGGAAATTATAAAATGCACACAAAGGGGCTTTCTTTAAGAAAGTATCTTATGTTGTTTCTGTATATTCATCAGGTCTGTTCAACCTGAGGCAGATTGTACTGGCCAAAGTAGACCAAGCCCTTCACACGAAGACAGGAGTGGACCCAGCAGAGGAGTATGCCAAGCTCTGTCAGGAAATACTAGGAGTGCCTGCCACTCCAGGTGAACCCTTCTAAACTTCTCTTAAATAAATAATGTACACTACCCTTTGAAAATTTGGAAGCACATGCCATATTAATTGATGTGCAGAGGTTTGGCTGATTTTTATTTTGTTTTTTTTTGTTCCAAAAAGCTCACACTGTGTGGACTAAAACACTTTAAACACTCTAACTGGCATTTTAAAAATCAGATCATGTTAAATAGCATGGACCAAATAAAGTGCTACATTGAAAGTAAGAAGAAAGTGGCTCTTTAGCATAATAAGTGAAAACGCAGTTGTGCAAAATTTTGGTAAGGCAAGCCATTAGCATTCAAATACAGTGCAAGTGCACTTACCTGCCTTATGTTATTTACGCCATGAAACACAGATGCACCAAAATACAAAGTAATAAATTGGCCAATTTCTGATCATGTGCTTGGAGCAAAAATCTGCTGATTCAGATGTTGGCCAATTCTTACCGTGTATCCACAATAAACTGATGTAATTGTTGTGTATAAAATAACAAATAACCTAGAATGTAGATTTACATATTATAAACTAGACGCAAGGTATTTTTAGATGTTTTATTTAATATGTCTAAATTTGGTTTTAGGAGCAACAAAGTTAAAGAATAAAATATATATTTTAGTACTTACATTATACAGTACTTATTTACAAAACTGTCAGAATTTACAGTATATCTGGTTAAGTTGTCTGCCTTAAGATTGGGTTGGCAATAGAATTCAAGGTAGGCTGGATGCTAATTTTGAGTTCATGCCTGATGGTAGATTGATTGGATTTTTTTTCCTTCTAGCTTCCTACTAATTATTAGAAGCATCTATAATTGCATGAGACTAGCATATTTGCATAATTTTATATCTATAACTGTATACATTTATCTGAAACTAATAGGTTGAAAGCATTGATTCCAAATTTTTATCTTCTTAGCTTAATTTAACATGTTATGTTTGTCTTAACATGCAAGTTGACAGTCTCTGTCGTCATTTACATTGTTCACAGAGACTAACATGCCAGCCACCTTCGGCCACCTGGCAGGTGGTTATGATGCTCAGTATTACGGTTATCTCTGGAGTGAGGTCTTTTCCATGGACATGTTCTACGCCCGCTTTAAACAGGAGGGCATCATGAACCCCAAGGTCAGTACTGCCCGCCATTAATAGTTATTAGTAACTTTACTGGCACAATATGGCATTGGCTGATTAAAGTGAAGTACAGAAATGAGGTTAGCAGTATTTTGCCACATTGATAAACCTTGTAATGAAGAAGAGCAATATCTAATGGTCATTCACTGTGCTCTTTAGGTGGGTCTGGACTACAGGAACTGCATCTTGAAGCCTGGAGGCTCTGAAGATGCTGCTGAAATGTTGAAGAAGTTCCTTGGAAGAGAGCCTAAGCAAGAGGCTTTCCTCCTGAGCAAAGGACTATCAATTGAGCTGGAGCCAGGCACACCCATGTGCCTGTTGACTAGTTACTTCACAGTAGATTGCATTATCAATGCCTCTCTGGGGAACGTTAGCACACGGACACTAAAGACTGGTAACTTCGGTTTTTCCGAATCAGAATCCTGAAATTTCACTATATCACAAGCTATCGCCGTTATTGTTCAACTCAATTTTTCCTCTTTTGAACCTTGAAGCATTGTTTTAAAAATTAAAATTGTATTCAGTCAAGAAAAAAAGTGGTTCACCATAAAGATCTCTTGACTTGAATTTAATGGTTTGGTTTAGTCACAATTTTTTATGGAATCATGAAAGAATGAAAGATTCTTGATGGAGCATTTATTTAATTATCCAAACAAATTACAAAAAATGGGATAGTATGTTAAATGCAAATAAAAAGTAGGGATTTGTAAATCCACTTTGACTTGAATTTAAACAAAAACAATACAAAGACAAAATATTTTACCTTATGAACTTGATAGCTTTTTGATAAATGCACACTCATTATAAAATTGATGCTCTCAACCCATTCCAAGAACTTCGGGACAGGGCAATATAAGAGTAGAAACAATGTGAAATGACAACAAAAATATCTTAAACAGGTGATGCTCATAAAGGCCTAGTCCTTTATGAGCAAGAATGGGTCGATGCCTGCCTCAGCAAATACTCTCCATTTAAGAACAACATTCCTCAATGAGTGATTGCAAGGACTTTTAGGTATTTCCTGCATCACAGTGAAAATATCATCAAAAGATTCTGGCAATCTAGAGAAATCTTTATGTAGAGGAGTCCACATCTGAATGCACATGACCTTCCATCCCTCAGACATGACAGCATTAAAAACCAGCATGGATAGCACCACGTTAGTTAGGAATATTTTGACAAAGGTTTGTGAATGAGTACAGTTCATCACTGCAACCACAATTGTAAGTTAAAACTGTACTGTGCACAGCAGCCATATGTCAGCATTGTCCGGAAACGCTCCCGATTTCTCTGGGTTCGAGCTTATATGAAAAAGACTGATGCACATTTGAGACGCGTTCTGTGAAGTCAATCAGATTGTTTATGAAAATAATGGACATAATGTTATCTGAGCCAAGGAAGGAGAAGACCGTCTAGATTGATACCAGCATAAAGTTTGCCCCTCATATGAGTAGCTTGCACATCTGCAACATAACGCTGTTGTCAAAAGAAAACTTTGTATCTCCATTTTTGTCGTTTTTCAGTTTTTGACATAATTTGAAAATGTCTGTTGCCCTTTATGTTGTGTGTAAATGTTGTGAAGAATGGACCAAAAGAAACGGCCCAGAATTACTTGGAAAAAAGTCTGGTTCCATTGACTTACATTAAAAGTAAAGTATGTTTTTTTTTCTTCTCCTGTAAAGTTACCATTTTGGAGATACAAGGTTTTCTTTGGACAACAGCGATAAGCTGTTGTTATAACAGCATGGCTGGGTAATCATAGAGTGCAGGTGCTAGAATGGACAGCCTCCCATTGAAAGCATACAGAGCATTATGAAGAGCAAAATACTATGAAGGCACCTATGGTTGCGACTTGTGTAATGCAAGAGTTGCACAAAATTCCACAAAACGGGTTCAGTGGGTGTCTTTAGTCCCCAGATGACAACTAAGGTGGTTAAAGTGATCCTGTCCCAGTGTTTTTAGAACATATTTGGATTATCAAATTTGGAGTGTGCATATATTTGCAAAAAAATAAATAAATAAATACAGGTCAAACAATGTTTACTAATCCCTGCTTTCTGTTTTATTAATATTTCACATACTGTCCAAACTTTTTTTCAGAATTGAGGTTTGCAACTACTGCGTGAAATTAAATACCAACAGTAATTTATAATATTTTGTTATGGGAAATCACGTGATGTATTATACTTTTAAATATTAGAGGTCACAATCACAAATCCTTCAGTGTTTTCCAGGCAGGCGTTGTTTTCCATTATGTGTTTGTTGCACAGTTGTGCCTGGAGCATATTCAGCGCTGCGTGTGATCGAGTTATTTTGCTACACAGTTTACTACTTGATGCACTCAAGAACAAATTAAATCCCTTGGTGGGCTCCCTCAGGACCACACAATCGACTGAGTACTTCTAAACAGCTCAAGGCCAAGACTGGGGAATGAACATTGGGCATGGTCAGAGTTAATTGATGCAAAGGGTAAATTACTGAAAAGTGGAGCAGATGGGTGTTCCCTTTTTTAATTCTAGCTCATGGAGTCATCAAAGTAACCCAGCATCACACATTAAGGAACTAGGAACATTAACAGTTGAATATCAACCAGTTATTAAGAAATCTCAACTCCCTATCTGATGTGCTTTGGAGGGCTCGGTTTGTGGCCCCCTTATTTAACATAATGTAACATAATGTTTCATGTATGTAATTAATTAGTTAAGGATAATCAAAAGACCTCTCTGAAAGTTGCAGTCTATGCCGAATGGCTGCCTGACCGTCTAACCTCCTAATTAAAGGGAACAGCAGCTGCTGGCTCTCCTAAGGGAGCCCATCACTAAGCCAGGTAGAGGGTGGTAAACAAAGGTTTCTCCTGGTGTACCTGATCTCTGTGGATGAAATGACAAAGAGAGTAGAGCACAAACACATTCTGATGAGGGCACCTCAGCCGTCTGTGGTCCTTTCTGCATGTTCTGTCAGCACTGGAAGGTAAGTCCTTTGTGTTAATATGCTATGCAATTTTATTTATTTATTAATTATTATTATTTATTACTTTACCTTCATGCACTTTAGTACAGTGCTGCAATGGAGCTCTGAGCAGAGGAGCAGGTAATGGACTAAGGCTTCAGTAGGCTCTGAGGTTTTGTGCTGGAGGGATGGCTGTGGTGGAAGTCTTGACAGTGGAGGGACTGCGGGGACTGGACACGCGCTGTCTGCAGCCTCAGTCCAATGTGGTGCGAGTGTTCGTCAGCTCCAGTCTCTCAGGTACGATTCTTCAGGAACAGCTTATTTCTTAGCTGCCATGTTTCGTATGCTACAACTATTCAGACTAATTTTCATAATTCTGCTGAAGTGTAGGGGTATTAGCTAGTGTAACCTGGGGGGAAGGCCAGGTTTTCTCCCCTGATCAAATGTTGGGGACAAATCTAATCTCTGTGTAATTACTGAATGACTATGGTCTAATTAATTCCTGCATTCCTGGGATTCATAGGTCTTGAAGGTTTTCAGGGTCAGCTGATCTACACTTTTGTGAATAATAGTGATCTACGTGTTTACAGAAAGTTTGAATAGAAAAGTTGTTCAAATATATTAGCATGGAGGGGAAAGAGCAGTACATTTAGTTTGAATAGGAAAAGTTTAAAGATTTTAAAATTAGCCGTTGGTGCAAAGACGTCAGCCAGGTGAAGGCCAAAAGACCCCCTTTAGCATTTTGTCCAACAATATTTTTAAATTTTCATCAGGAAGTCACAAAGTTGCTGACTGTGGGCTGAGGGCTGGCAGTCTAGCATGTGCATTAACTTTCTTTGAATGCTATTAATTTTGCTTAAATTATTACTATTCTTGATGCCGTACCACTACTACTGCTAATGATAATAATAACAATAATCATAATAATGCTACTAAATGAAAATGCAAAATAGTTCAGCAGTTCATGTGTCCATAAAACCTAAAAAAATTAAAAGTGGCATTTCAGATGTTGCTATTTTATCATCATTTGTCTTCAAAGTTATTAAAATGAAGCAGAATGATTAAGAGGTCTCACATTCATGTGAAAAGATTATATTTTTTAATGCCATGATTAACACAGTTCATGGAAAGTTCAAAGACCAGAGATGATTAGACCATAAAATGATATATTTTGTAAAACGTAAATGGCAAATTTGTCCTAGATTCACTTGGACAAATTTGCTCGAGAAGCTGTTTTTAGCATCTTCAGGATGACGCATGCACGGATATGGTTTAGCTTTGCAATAGATGGACGTCATTGTTCTGAAGGGTGGTCCCTCCGTTTTCCACATATCCTTAAATAGTGTGCAAAAATAAAATGCTATTCAATTATCTATGTTGTGATAATTCTCCCATTGAGTATTAACAGTAATTGATAGGAAGTTTATCACATCTACTGTATGTCCAAAATATGTCCACATTGTAGACACCTGCTCTTCCACTGTTCTTCTGAAATCAAGGGCATTAATAGGGTGTTTGTCCCCCATTTGCTGCTGTAACAGCCTCTGCTCTTCTGAGAAGGCTGTGCATTAGATGGTGGCATATTGCTGTGAGGATTTGAGTGCAGCCACAAGAGCATTAGTGAGACCAGGTGCTGATGTTGGGTGATTAGTTCTGTATCACAGATGCCAGACTAGCTCATCCCAAAAGTGCTCCATCACTCCAGAGAATGCAGCACCATGCAGTTGTAGTTCTCAGTGCTGGCGATCTTTGTACCTCACTAGCCGATGCCTGGCAAAGCTGCTCCAGACCGTTCTATTTGCAGTGCCTTTCTATGGATAATATACAAGCTATGTGCATGCAGTCAAATCTTGATTAAGTGCACTTTAAAGTGGTTGAATTCCTCAATATAATAGGTGTCTGGATACTTTTGGACATATAGTGTACTTATGTGGTAAAAATGCTTATTTTTCTATTAAGCAGTTGATGAGCCTCTTACATTTTAAGGTCATTCAGTGTTCATTGTTTTAGTAATATGTATTTAGCAAAATGATTTCTATCAATACTGGAAATATTTATGATGTTTCAATTTAATTCATCCTTTCCAGATTTGACTAGTGAGAGAAATGCCTTTTGGGATAAAGCCTATCCTGAGATACAAGACTTCTGTCAGAGTCTGGGACTAGTCTTTGAGGTTTGTACACTAAAGTGTGAAAACAGATGAAACATCAGCTGCATCTTTTTGCTACGTGAAGGACATTTAATCACAGATACAGCCATATCCTACTTAAAGCTTTCATTGTTAATATTACCTGTTGAAAATGATGAAGCACAGTGAGAATTCTCTTATTACTAGTCTGGTTTGTATCTAAAAGATGTTTATATATGCTCTTAAAAATGCTTAAGAGGTTATTTGGAGTGATATGCCATAGAACACAGGTTTCTGACCCTATGGAGTACCCCTATCATCGCTGCTCCAAAATCTTGTAAAGTGCTGTGGAAAAGCATTTGACCCTCACTCGATTTCTTCTATTTTTACTAATTTGTCACATATAAATGTTTCAGATCATCAAGCTAATTTTAATATAAGATAAAGACAACATGAGTAAACACAAAGCTTTTAAATGATCATTCCATTT